CAAAGGAAAACCCCTGGGTTGACGTCTACCTTGGGGCACTCCTTCCGCCAAGCTAAGGACCCTCCAGACTGATGCCCCCTTCGCCACGGAGTTGCGGGATGCTTCGCCTATCGGCAGCCCACCCTGTGAAGGCAGGCTCGAGCTCAAGCTCGGCACAGCGACTAGCTTCTATGTTGTACTTGTTGTTGCTATGTGGGTGTGGCTCAAAATTAAACAGGAGGGGTTAGGCAGGTTTTGGTCCACGTTTCCGCTTTCCAGTGCTCCATGTTGGTACTGGATTTTTGAGCCACAGCCATGTACTGTCCGTGGCCAGACTCGGAGTCGGTAGAACTAACCTAGCGCATTCTGAACCGTCTCTGGGTCGAGGTATTCAAAAAGCAACATTCGAATCCTGCGCCAAGTTGCAGAACGAGGCGTGCCAATTGCAGACACTTTGCACAGCGTTGGGTAAAAACTTTATTTGCCTTCTGCTTGTTCCAATTCTTCTCGATGGCCCTGTGGAAATTATTGGGCTGGCTGGCCAGTATCATGACCGGCTAATCTTTTATATATATGATTATATATGGATATCCTGTCTCAAAAACTGCGGATCAAATGCGGAGGGCCCCTGAAGCGAAGCAGTCCCAAAGGCCACATCTCCCATGGAAACCGCCCAAAAGCGCGCCTCCAGGGGCACCAAGAGGTAGAAAACCAGAAGCCAGGCCCCACTCATCGCCTCACAGGCGTCTCCGGACCCAACAAAAACGTTTGTAGAGGGAACCGCTTTTTGTATCAAGTTGGCGCTAGCTGATGCCATGGTCATGCCCTACAAGGCTGGACACGCTGCGCATAGACTCCACAAAAATGCAGACAGATTGTCTGGTTCAAACTGCCCTGATGGTTGTGGCCCAACTGTGCCACGCTTCCCCTCTCTTGGCGCTACAGAACTCGTGGTCCAGACTGCTTTGCCAACCTGCCCCGTCGCGCCCCCAACCTGCCCCCGCCACGCTGAACACGCCGCGCCTTTGGAGCAGTCCCTTAAGGAAGCCGCATGGCAGCGGTGTAGAGTCAGCGGTCCCTGCCCTACGTTTCTTGGCTTTTGTTGTCTGGCAAGGGTGGTTTGTCCGCCTTGTTCCAATAGGCCCGATTCAGCTTTCTTCAATGGCATTGTCGGAATCTGGTAAGGGAAACTCAGGTGTCGCCGGGTGAGGTTGTGCCAGACTCTTCCTTCAGCTGGCTACTGGCTGGCCGCGGCTACGGCCCCTACCTGCCGATCGCATGGCTTTTGCTTCTTCCACCAGGTCTCGGCTGCCCTGGCACACTTGGTTCAGTAGCTGTGGCCAGAATAGCGCAGAAAAGGCGTCGGGGACACACACCAAGGTCATTGCGTCAACCTCACGAGATGCAATGCTCCCTAGGGTGGCTTCCCAAAGAATGAGCAGCAAATCAAGCAATTCATGGCGTGAATTTAACGTACAGCCTGTTGATGCAACCCCAGTTTAGAAACAACTCTGCACCCGCGCGTGCAGCAAGCAAGCATCAGAAATTTGTGCTTGGATCCATGTCTAGCTGCCTTGCTTGGTTGATTACTTGTTGAGTGTCCCTCTGTCACAGTCCAAGAATCCGACTCTACCTCACATTCCAAAGCAATGCGCTCGTTGCCTTTTCCTTGAGCAGTTGGAAGGCTCCGCCTCACTTCTCGACGGTCCGCCACCCGCACTTCTTGCCTTGCAAATGCAAGGCACTTGGCCCTGCAACATCGCGGGTTGCCAGCCCCTTGAGGTACACATTGTGACAAATACCTTGACAGAATCAAGCATGCCCCCAAGCCTGCCTGCTTTAAGCTGAATGCACAAAAGCCGGTGGCACAAGCAACCCTTGATCAAGGGCTGCCATGGTGTGCTTCATGCAACCAGGTTCTTGTAGGACAAAGTGTTTGGTCTGCTACCTCAACGTTGCCGTTTATTTGTTTTTGTCTCATAGATTTACAGGACATGTTCTTCTGTATGCACAAGCAACTCAGAACAAAAGTATGGCGAACGCAAACAAACCATTGGGCATATGTACAAATTGGTATGTTGCAAATTCAAATTGAGGGCCCAGGTAGGTACGCTTTTGCCCTCATGCAACAGGTAAGCTGGCAACAAGCAAACGCGTGACCGCCCACACACATACACAAACACACCCATAGCGACAAACAATCACACACACAACAAACAAACTCCACACACACACACACAAGCACAACACACAAACACACAAACAAACACAGGCGCAAACAAACACACACACACACACACACACCACACACACATACACTTCCACAACCACAAGCACAACCCAAAACACAAGCAGACACACACACACACACAAACATAGCATGCAACTCCAACCGCAATCAAGCACAGACACAAAGCGGAAATCGCAATCTACCACCCTGGCGAGCAAAGGCAAACGCAAAGCCAATTGCAATGAGAAAGCGTCTTCAACTTCCTGCAGTGTTCCTTTGCATTCCAATATGGACTATGAATATATTGTTGAATAAGTTTGAAAGCTACCAAGGTATGACGAATTGCGTAGAAGCTCATCTGGCCCTGACGGAAAATTCCAAAACATGAAAAACCTAGATACTTCCCATGCGCTGGAATGGCGCGCGCAAATCTTTCTCCAGGCCAGTGGCGTATTGTGTGCTTCTCTGGCAGCTGCCTATTGTCCGTCTTTTCTAAGCCAACCTAAGGTAAGAAGGTGACAGTTTGGTTCAGCAGTGTTCAGCGCCTGAGGCAGCGTCACCTGTGCAAAATACCCAAGAATCGTCAGCTCAATCTAGAAAACATGATCGTATTTGAAGATATTGAAGCCGCTACTTGAGTCGTTTGTGCTATGTCAAATTGCCCATGGCGTTTTGGTTGCTCGCAAAAAAATATCTGCAAGCAAACTGCCCACAAGGCACGCCCGCGCTTTACCCTCGATGCCGGGCTGCAGAGGAAGAAAACGCTGAGCCCCTCGTCTGCAGACCGCAGTTGCCGAGTCCAGAATTGAAGCCGGCTGTTGCCACAGCCTCGCGGGAAAAGGCGTGGCTTCTCTGAAAAAAACGAGAAGGCAGATGTCTCCCGTCCCAAAACAAATCCATTGCCGATTGCAATCTAGATAATTGCGATCTGAGGATGGGGGCCCTTTCCCAGTTCAGCAAATCACTTGGCAAAGGCACCGACCTGGCCAGCACGAGCCGATGCCTCTTGGGAAACCCACACATATGATCAAGATTGACCCGGTGAGGCCGGCATCCAAGAATCCGCACATCCGGAGAGAATGCCATGTGGGATTCAGTGCACAGCTTTTGTATAGGATCCCATCTTGGGATGACCATTGGCAATTCCGAACAACAACCGCCGCAGTCAAGAATGTGTTATCTCTCCAACTCTGGGTGTTGGCGCGACATCGCCGCGTTCCTTTTGTGGTGAGCATGCCACCTCCTACAGTGCTCCATCACGTGGACCCCTTTTTGGACGTTGGCAGGGAATAGAAGGGACACAAACATGTTAAACACTCCCCCATTCAAGCTAAATCTCCGTGACATGACATGGTGATCCACCCGATGCCAAGGTGCTGGGACATTCCTGGTCAATCTCCGGGTGTTCAGTCACCTGGCGCAACGTGGTGCTCTGAATGGCTTGGGTCAGGCCCCCCCCCCCCCCCCCGCAAAATCCCTAGAGCCAAGCTTCTGGTATCAAACCAAGGGCTAAGAGGAGACTCATCAATAATTTTGGATGAGTGCAGGTGTTAGTCATTGCAACATCCGGCGCTGCGGTGCGTTGCAAACCATGGCAAAACGCGGTTTTAGAAAAAATGTTTCATGGCATGCAACATGCAAACGTGTCCTTGGTCCAGTACGCGGCCACGCAAGCAGTTGAGCTTTTCCAGGAGTCGGCTCTGCAACAAGTTCAAGCCCAGTATCTGTATCTGTTTGTTGTGGGGGGGGGGGGGCCTTTGATGCCCTTTAGGTTGTTTTGGAGGGCTGTTGATGCCCTAAACGACCCAAGCAGAGGCGGTTGATGCCTTTTGGGTTTTGGCAGAAGCATGGCGCGGTCCTCGCCCTGCTCCATGTCGGGCTCCCACTCTGCCTGGCAGCGGACTTGGCTAGGAGAAGTGACGAGTGAGCAGTGAGTTGGAGCCGAGTGAGGCCAACAAACCCCGCACCAAAAAAAATGAAAAAACGTGAGGGAGGGCCAGCAAACCCTCACCAAAAACATGGAAAAAGATGAAAGGCAGCTTGGTTCTTGAAGTTACTACCAGTTTCCCTTGAGTAGAGAGATATACACAGCGCCTCCTTTGAACACACTGAAGTCTACATGATAATTTCCAAGTCCAGTCTCTGGAAACAGTCGGCTTTCACAGCCCCAAAGGTTGGCCCAGCTTGGGACGGAGGTCGGCGCTTAAGCCGTGTCCCTGCAAGGAACAAGCTGGGTTCGTCCATGAGTGTGGGGTGTGGAGCTTCCATGGCAGCGGAACAAGGGCCGCCGTGATTCATGGTGTCAAGCTTGATCCGCTTCCTCTATGCTCGCTCGTTCAACTGAAATGCCAGCAAAACGATGCTTGCAAAACGATTGACAGACGCAGTACCTCGAGAGAACAGCAACACGAGAAAACAGAAGATGAGGCAAGCTCCCCATTCGGCCGACACTTGGCCTCACGAGCTTTGCTAACAATCCGTTCGGTGCCTACTGCTCAAAGCCACATAAGCCGATGACATGCCGCCGCCCCAGGGCTCCTCAGCATCAGCACTCCACCATGGCGGCTTCACCTCGAACGCCGAAGTCACTTTTTCTCGCCGCAGCAGTCTCAGGTTAAGCGTTCCAACGGAAATTGAAACGAGAAATGCCAAGCTGCCAGGCCAAGATCCCTTACAACTGCTAAGCGTTTGTTCAAGGTTGATGGCTTGGCTGCTCAAAGGTTATGGGCCCAGAATCTCCGCCGGGAGTAACTTTGAGAAGTCAGATGGCCGACCAAGCTTGTTCTTTTTTCCCAGGCACTCGCTGCACAACATGCTTGGCTGGGGTAGGCTATGATTTGAAGGTGCTGCCTATGGCAAAAGGTGTGTGGCTTTGTGCAGCTCTACATTGCAAAGCGCCCAAAGGTCGCTGTGGCCGTCCCAGCTTCTTCGAACCACGGCACCCTGACCTTCTCGGCGAAGTCTCTCAGGGCGGTGGGCAAGGGAGTGTTGAAACACTGTCTGTCTGGTGCGCCAGCCTCAGACAATGTCGATCAGACTTGAACGGTGCGGAAATTCATAAGATTGGGGGGGATACCTTGAACACGAGCACAACAGGCATAGTAGTAAAGACGGCAGGCCAGCGTCTTCTGCTTCAACCATGAATAACTGCTTGAGGACCAGAACAAGTAGTGCATACTGGCAGTAGGACATGTCCATAGGCGTCCACGCAATTGAACCAAAGTGCCGCTCCCAGGGTCAGTAGTCACCTGCCTATAAATTTGAGGAGATGGTGCTAGGGTGCATAGCCACCCAAAAACAGAAGGGCAGCGGGACGAAGCGGGAGGCTGCCGAAGAGATCCAAAGCGGCAACACAAAGCAGGCGCAGCCGAGTGCAGGGCTTAGCCAGACCTTCTCACATCTCCCTGGGCAGCCGGATGGTCCAGTGGAAGCGGTCCTCAAGCTGACCAAGAGATGCCCAACGCCCGCCGCCACTGTCCGCTGGCTTTGCACGCGGCAACAGTGGCATTGAAGCTGATCTCATCAGGATTGACTTTTGCCTCGGGCATTGCCCGAAATAGGCTCAAAGCCTCTTGCCACTGTCCGCCTTTGCCACAGGCGCTGATGGCTGCACTGAAGCCAACGACATTTGGGTGCACTTCTGCAGCGGGCATTGCCCAGAACAAACCCAAAGCCTGCTGCCACTCCCCACCCTTGTCGCAGGCACTGATTGTTGCACTGAAGCTAACCACATTTGGTTGCACCTTTGCCTGAGGCATGGCCCAAAAGAGGTCCAATGCCTGCTCCCACTGCCCGGCCTTTTCGCAGGCACTGATAGTTGCATTGTAGCTAATCTTGTCTTGATTGACCTTTGCATCAGGCATGGCCCGAAACAGAACTAAAGCCAGCTGCCACTGTCGGCCTTTCTCACATGCACTGATGGTGGCATTGAAGCTGACCTGCTCACAGGATATGTTGGCTGTGGACATAGACTGAAAAAGGACAAAAGCTTGGTTCCACTGCCCACCCTTTTCGCATGCACTGATTGCTGCGCTGAAGCTAACGGCGTTGGGTTGCACCTTTGCCTGAGGCATGGCCCAAAACAAATTCAACGCTTGCTGCCACTGCCCGCCCTTCTCACATGCGCTGATGGCCGAGTTAAAGCTGATCTCGTCCGGCAGCGTCGTGTTCCCAAGCAGGGCCAAAGCCTGCTTCCACTGACCGCCCTTTTCACAGGCGCTGACAGCGGCGTTGCAGCTGATCCTATCCGATTCAACCTTTTTCTGGGGCATGGAATGGAAAAGATCCAAAGCCTGCGTCCAGTGTCCACCCTTTTCACAGGCGCTGATGGTTGCATTATAGCTGATAAGATCCGGTTGCACCCTTGCTTCCGGCATTACCCAAAGCAGACTCACCGCCTGTTGCCACTGCCCGCCCTTTTCGCAAGCGCTGATCATCGCGTTGTAAGTGACCACATTTGGCTGAATCTTCGCTTGCGGCATCGCCTGAAATATGTGCAAAGCCTGCTGCCATTGTCCACCCTTTTCGCAGGCGCTGATGACGGCGCTAAAGCTGAACACATTCGGGCAAACCTGAGCATTCGGCATTGTCGTGAGGATTGAACAGGCATGCTGCCAGAGACTTTGCCGAGCACAGGCCGACAATCCAACAGTGAAGTCACGCGCGTCTACCTTCACCCCCGCATCTCTGAGCACCTCCAGCAGGTTGTGAACCATGTCTGCGCGCTTCTTCTCTGCCAGAACACCTATGCCGTGCCGGACGGGACCACCCCAGCCCTCCAGCGTCGACCGCACTGCTTCCTTGGAAGGGCATCCCAATTCGCATAGCGCTGCCAGGTCGATCAGTGCCCCGCTCCCTTTTGGAGCGCGCATTCACAGAAAGCAAGCAATCATGATGTTCCTTTCCTCCCCGCAAGGATTTGCCAAAACAGCCGGGAGGCCAGCTCGTTGAAAATTCATGAGCATGAGGTGGTTTGATGGAAGGAATGCTTGGTCAAAAATATTACTCTGCCGTCCCCTCCGCAATGTCATCCCGTTCCATGATTTGCCTGGGGCGGATGTGACGCAAGATGCACACACCTGGCTAATTACACGCGAGCATTCACACTTCCGACAAGCTGCGTGCTGTGTCGGCCACATGTTGCATGCTGAACTGGAACCAATCTATTCTCAACCTCTGGGGTGGACCCAGGCACCCTGAAAAACACCCTCCCTCCTCTCAGGCGCGGGCCCGCTCGTAGATGGTGGCAGTGGAGGACAAAGGCATCTGGCGGAACGAGTTGGAAAGCCCTCGACTGAGCTGGGCCCAGCGGGACCTATGGCTGTCAAGAACAGCCATCCAAGCTCTGGGGCCTAGTTGGAGCACATCCCGGGGCCCAAACGGCTGACAGGGGGTCGTTCTCATTCTCATCATAGCCAACAAACTGCCGCCCAGGTGAGGGTACACGTGAACGGCCGGGGCGGTGCAAAAAAGAACAGCTCGAACAAGAGGCTCTTCTCCAAGGATCCGAGCCCAGCCAGAGATTCCTGTAAGGAACCTCGAGCGGAACAAACCCACTAAACAAGCAAGCAACCAACCAGCCAACCAGCCAACCAGCCAACCAACCAACCAACCAAGCAAGGAAGCAAGCAACCAAGCAACCAAGCAGCCAAGCAACCAAGCAGCCAAGCAACAAAGCAACCAACCAACCAAGCAAGGAAGCAAGCAACCAAGCAGCCAAGCAACCAAGCAACCAACCAACCAAGCAAGGAAGCAAGCAACCAAGCAGCCAAGCAACCAAGCAACCAAGCAACCAAGCAACCAAGAAACCCAACAACCCAGCAAAGCAGCAACCAAGACCAAGCAACCAAGCAAGCAAGCAAGCAAGCAACCAAACCAAACCAAACCAAACCAAACCAAACCAAACCGAACCGAACCGAACCGAACCGAACCGACAAACAAACAAACAAGCAAACAAAACAAACAAACAACAACACGAACAAAACAAACAAAAAAGTGAGGGAAGAAAAGGAAAGTCAGAAGCGGTAGACAGGGAAACAAACAAACAAACAAACAAACAAACAAACAAACAAACAAGAAAACAATCGTGACAGACAGACAAAGAAAACAAACAAACAAACAACCAAGCAAGCAAACAAGCAAACAAACATCAAAAAAAAGACATTCAGATTTCACATGACAGACACAAGAACGAACAAACAAACAAACAAACAAACAAACAAACAAACAAGCAAGCAGACAAACAATCAAACGACAACAGTACTGAGACAAATCAACAGACAAGCAGACAGAAAAAAAAAAAAAAAAAAAAAAAAAAACGGCAGACAGACGGCGACACAGACAAACAGACAGACAGGCAGGCAGGCATGCGGCAGGCAGGCAGCCAGGCAGGCAGCCAGGCAGGCAGCCAGGCAGGCAGGCAGACAGGCACACAGGCACACAGGCAGGCAGACCAGGAAAACAAACAAACAAACAAACAAACAAACAAACAAACAAACAAACAAGCAAGCAAACTGCTAAGCAATCAAAGGCGAGTAATAAGCAGTCAAACCATCAAACAATCATAGGCAAGTAAATCCCAAGCAGATAAATATACACAAACAAGCAAACACAACAAACAAACAAACAAACAAACAAACAAACAAACAAACAAACAAACAAACAAACAGACAGACAGACAGACAGACAGACAGACAGACAGACAGACAGACAAACAGACAGACAGACAGACAGACAGACAGAGAGACAAACAAATGGACAGACAAGCAGGGAGGCAGGGAGGCAGACAAACAAAAAACACAAACACACAAACAATCAAAGTAACAGACAAAGAGAACTAAGAAGCAGTCAAAACGATCAAACAAACAATAGGCAAGTAGCTAACAAACATGTAAGCAAACAAACAAACAAACATCCAAACAAACAAACAAACAAACAAACAAACAAACAAACAAACAAACAAACAAACATCCAAACAAACAAACAAACAAACAAACAAACAAACAAACAAACAAACACAAACAAAAACAAACAATCAAACAAACAAGGACACACACACACAAAAAAAAATGGGGATCAAACTAAACAAAAACACACACGCAAAAGAAACAAACAAAACAAACAAAACAATGGAAAAAACAGGATAAACAGAGCAACACCACAAAAGAAACTAAACAAACTGGAACAAAACAAACAATACAAAGCAACCCTAACACAACAAATAAAACAATGCAAAACACTGAATACAAAACAAAACAAAGCAACACAGACAATACAAAAGAAACTAAACGAAATTAATTAATGCAAAACAATCAATACAAAGCAAAGCAAAACAAAACAGGCAAACAAACAAACAAACAAACAAAACAAAACAAAACAAAGCAAACAAACGTCTTCTTATATAAGAAAAAACAATAAGCAAGACAAACAATACACAACAACTAACAAAAACAACTAAGCAAAACAAACAAAAACAACAAACAGCGCAACACAAACAACGCAAAAGAAACCAAATAGAATGAACAAAACAAACAATAAGACAAATCAATCAAAGCAAAACAACACCAAGCAAAGCAAACAAACCACAACCAAAAAAGAGAGCAAAACAAAGCAAAACAAAACCAAGCAAAACAAATCAATCAAAGCAGAACAAACAAAACAAAATGAAGGAAGAAGAAAACAAGAGCATAATAAAGCAACACAAAACAATACAATACAAAACAACACAAACTAAACTGACACCGCGACAAGTCCATCTGATGGGATGCTGATTTCGGCTCGCCGGCCTTGGGATCAAAGGGCTGCTGAAACCCGCAGCCGGTGCACTGGAGCTCTGGCCCGGCGATCTTCCCGTAGTCGTAGACCTGCTTCCCCCAAAGGTCCCCCGAGGAGAACAACTCCGCAGGTGTTGCACTCACTTGGCCATGGGTCAAAACCCAAATCGTACCCCCAATGAACATCCGATTCAACCCCCACTAAAATAGGTTCTAAAATGGGTGGTGAATTCACCTACCAACCAAAATGGGATCCCAAAACGGTGTTGACCCACTCCCACTTGTGAACTGGGAAATGCACTCACTCACCAACACCGGCAGCGCACAATGCGAGACTGGTGCGACTTTCGCAGAAGCCCCCTCCCCTATGGCATTGGGAAGCTGGGAAGCTTTTGACGCATGGGCGGGTCCACATATTTGAGGGGGGTGGGGTCGGACTAGTCATCGCTGGAGGGGTGGGGGTGGGGTCGGACTAGCCATCTCCCCGGTTAACTCACTCTTTTTGCACTTGTCTGGCACATTTCTTGCTCTTTTGGAGCTGAGTGTTCAACGAACATGCGACAAGAAAGTTCTTGCTTCTAGCAACAACTCATATGTGTGGCACTTGAAAAAGCACAGAAGCGCGCAAAGGGCTTCGTTGCTGTTCAATGTTCGAAGCGGAACTATGGCCACTACCAAACAAGCCCGCGCAGAAAGTACGCTTCTTGACGTGGGGAATGTCCAAAGCCCGGGGCTGAAACACTACAAAGTACGCACACGGTTCACCATTTAGATATTTGTGAGGCGCTGCGTGTTGCCGTGTCTTTTTCCCATGATTGGTTTCGTTTTGGTTTCGCTTGAAATACCAACCAAGATGGGGACCGCACTGTTGAGAAACTCCCTTAAGAAGCCCGATGGCACTGAACGAAGCTGACAAAGGGGTCGTGTTTTTGAGGGTTGCCCTTTCTGGAAATTGGCTTAAAGGGCAACCCAAAAGGGCCCCATCTACCTGGGGGGTGCTCCTTTTTTGACGCATACGCAAAATGCTTCTACCCGAAGCAAGGTTTCCTCGCGTGGTATTGGCAAGGGTGATCGAATAGCTGGGCCCACAAAGGCTCAAACAAGGTCTACCTCCTTGTGGTGTCTCTCCGTCCAAAAGAAATAATGGAGACATCAGTTGAAACTGTTGAAACTGCATGTGAAAGGATAGCTTTCAGTGATTCCCTTTTTGAGGGCGTGCTGTGTGACTGCGTCCATTCAAACATCTCAGCCAACATCACTTCACAGGATAGGACCCATAGCCCATAGCGAGCCAGCACAGGGGCACAGGGACTTGCAAGCCTGAATCCTTGGCATAGGACGAGAAGCCGAACAAAGGGTGGTTTGCTAAGTGACTGCCCACTGAACACGTGCTCCTTGTCAGGAGCCAGGTGGTTTTGCCACGCTTTCACATCTTCCAAATGGTACGCATGTGTCATTCCATCTTGGCCTGTCCACAGCGTCTGCAAAGGTAGTGCTCAGGCTTCCAGACCTCAGTGCCATGAACCAACAAACTAACTGGCACAGATCGGGGCACTGACATTGTTGTGGCTAACCTGTGGTCATGTCAGCAAGGATGTGCGATTCTGTGGGACGCCATGGGAGGGCTTGGCTGGCATGGCACAGAGCGCACCGCCTGCCCACCCCCCTGGTGCCGAAACAACTGAGAAGAGAATAATATTAGTGTCTGAGGGTGTGAGTGCCTGCCTTACCAGGAAGCCAACTTGGTCGAGATGAGTCTCATATTGACAAACAAAAGAAGCCTCGCAAGCCACACCGCTGTGATGTGATGCATCCTTGCATGACCTGTTCTGCTCTTTTGGCCTTGACGACAAAATGGACATGAGTTTTGAACTCTGGGGAAGCATTTCAGGGGGGCAATCAGGGCAGCCAAAAGCACGCAGTGGGCTTGCAGAAGCTTGATCAGGGGGGGTGAGCGAGAATTCGGTGACCTTCTTGTGAAAGCGTGGCTGCTTCCAGGCGATGGATCAAACCATACACATGAATACGCCCGAGTCTACCGAAAAATGCCGAGCCAGATTTAAAAAACACCACACACACACACACACGCACGCACGCACACACACGCGCGCACGCACACGCACACGCACACGCAGGCAAGTATCCAGGCTATATGTGCTGGAAAATGGGTGCAACTAGATGGATTCCATACGCAGGTGTATAACAAGACTGACTGGTCCTCAGCAGGGAAACAGAAATGGAACGACCCTTCTAACCCATCCAACTCCTGCTTTCTTCTTTGTTTTTTCGGGAATCCCAAACCAAAACCAGCTCATTCCCACCTTCCCTACGTATATCGCAGCAGCAAGTAACACCTGTGGTGCTCGACAGCCGAGGCTCGCCCAGCAGGCGGCGCACCTCGAAGTCCCCGCGCTGGGACGGGCGGCCGGGGTCCTGGCGCGAGTCTTCCCAAATCAGCGCCGGTGAAATGGAAACTCTTCATTTTTTGGGGGGGGACCCTACTTCGACACCCACACATCTAGCAAAGATCAGGTTTGGCCAAAGTTTGAGTTGCGTGGCTTTTTTGAGGGTGCCCCTTTCTGCTTTTTGTTGAAGGCAAACCAAAGGGACGACTACCATTTTGGGGGTCCCCTAAAAATTACACACCCACATCAGGCCTTCTGGTTTACGCTTGGGTCACCGTGCGACTTGGAAGTGGACGGCCTGTGAGTAGGAAGGTGGGCGGAAATGGCGAAGAAATGAGCGCTTGCCTCCTGGGCGTTGCTAAGCTCTTGCTTGCTTGTGTACTTGGTTGTTGTCTATTCCTTCAGCTACTATGACATCACGAGGGATGGGAAGGCTTTGATATTGACGAAGCTCTTGGATTGGGGGGTTGACAATGGTGCGAACCATGCTCAGAATTCTGGTCGCAAAGCCTTACGAGAAGAATGCGCTCGGCCATGTCGTTTCGAATGAAAGGTCTTTGCCCGGTCTCCCAAAAGCCAATGCGATCCGCCCGATCAGCTCGGATGCTGACCTTCTCTCCAGTCAAGCCCACGACACACCGAAGCTCATGGGAAAAACCGAGATGTCTGATTCCGCTCTTCACCCAAGGTACACGTACCCACCCGCAAACAACCCCAAACCCACCCTACCCGCCCCCCGCCCTCCGGAAAAAAATAAAGGACTTAAACGAGTCCTTCAGCCAAACATGACCCAACCCCTCCTCAAATTCCTCAGCCGCCACCGTCATTGTGCGGCCTGGAGGCTGCCACCGGCATGGTTTGTTCTTGTTGTTGCTTGCATGTGGAAAGCAGAACCGGTTTGGACAGCCAGTGCGTCCATAAAGCTGTGGCATCGCCACTCACGACTTTTCATGTAACAGCCTCAAATGCTAAGCAAGTTTCATGTGCCCCTCAACCCAGACTTACGAGGTAAGCATTGCACAACAACCTCCGGTGGCTGTTACCGTCATTCTCTCCAAATATCCTGTCCTCGCATGAGGCATCAGGCAAATTATCATTCCTCCAGCCACTTCCCTGAATGAGCTCGAGAAAAGTTCCGCATAGGTGTTTTAGTAAGTCCCCCAATGTCCCATAGACTATTGGCATTTTTGACCGAAATCAACTGAGCCAGCAGGAAGTGAGCGCTAAAGCTAACCCAATAAGCGGCATGACCACGTTTCTTGCCACCTGCTTCTCCTCTCTCTACCCCCCATCTCTGGTCTGGCTTTCTTAGAGCAGAGCTGTCTCAACACTGCGTGTAGCTATGGCTTGCCCAAATTTGTCGCTTGCTTCTACGCTTTGTCGCAGGCATGCAGTGGCCAAGCCCGCCCTCCCAAGTCCACCTGCCATGGCTCACGCGAGAAGCCGCCCTTTGGCGGGCGCCGGTGATGCGAGTGCAACTTCTGATCTACTCTCTGGCCACCCAACAGACCATCGATCTAACGACCCAGACATGCAGGGCATATATTCCTGGACATCTGGTCGAAGCTGCATTCTACCTTTGTTTGCAGAGTGCTTCGTGGTGACAAGCAGTAGCATGGAAAGAATGCCTGGAGTATCCGAAGCAAGAGTGCTTCTCAATCAGGACGAACAAAGCGACAGCATGGTCCAGTCTAGCACTCTGTGCTCTTTGCCTGCAGGCTAGCTTGATGCTAATGGCGGCAAGACAAACTTTCCCAGGTGCAAATGGTTGACCCTTCCCCCTTCGCACATCAATTTTCACCCTCCTGCGGCAAAACTTCCAGGGGAGTCCAAGCAATGCGAGCAGCTAAGGGTCTGCCGTGGTTGGCTCACACCGGCCCCCTGATGCACAACAACAAAAAACAAAAAGCAACACGACCTCCAAGAGATCCGCCAAATCTGCCACCCGCAAGTGTTGCTGGAACACGAGCAGAATTCAACAAGAACAACTCCCTCCAGCTCTTTGTTCTACACCAAGCTCACAAGAACTCCCGAAAGGCAGGAAGTCAGGGACGGCATGTATCCAATCTCTGCGGGCTCATAGGTTCCCTCTCACGAGCCAAAGGCTTAGAGGAAGAGGTAGCTCCTGCGTCTCGGAACCTGAAGCCTGGGTCTTCACAAAATCCGCACAAATCCAGCCATGTGGCTCTGGGTCAAAAATAGCGTAACCTCAAAATGGCTTGCCCTGGTCAATGGAAAGAATGACTAAAACCTGCCCTGGTGGTTTAATTTTGACCCATACCCATGTATTTCCGGCCGGTCGAGCGGCGACCTGCAAGACTTGGGCCGAATCAAGGCGCAGAAGCTTCATTCGTGGCCAGTTTGGCAGGCAAGACAACCACACCAGATTTCCGCCTGCGACAAAAGGGGGAACCAACCTCAGAAATGGGCCGTATCAAGTCAAGTCCTGAAACGCAGTGTTGCTAGGTTTCTGCCTAGGGCCTCTGAGCATCGACCTTCAAACACAATGAGTCGTGAACAAAACCCAAGAACCAAATGGACCTTCTATGCAAAACCCTGTAAGGAATGGAAAGGGCGGCCACTTCTATTTCTGGTCGGGAAATATGGCCGAGTCTGGCTCAAATGCTCAGCTGCCGCCCGATGTTTTGCGTGGAAAGGCAACAGAGAGTAATACCTCCGCAATGTGTCCTGCGCAAAGATCTGACATGCCTCTGCACTTTAAGGGGAAAACATGCTTTTGTGGGGGTCCGCACATCCACATGGCCTTCAACTTCTTAGTTGTCACAGTCTGCTGTCACATTTCCAAGGATGTCCACAACCCGCTCTGCTGAAAGACATGCTGTCTTTTGGGCCAGCCTCCCCCCCCCTCCTGGCTGCGAACATTGGCATGTACGCAAAGGCCAAGGGGATCAGCGGGATGGTGAACAGAGCCAGGTAGTGCATGAACCTGCACGGGTTTCTTGTCCGCTCCGACCAAGTGGCAGAGCCACACTAGGCTCTCCTCTCTTCGTTCAAAATACGGGCCACAGAAAGGGACGGCCTGAGCAGCACGTATTGTTTTTCAGACTCGTCAGCCTTGGAAGTCCCTTCTCAGAAGGATTGTTCATCCTGTAGCTTGTTCGCAGCTTCCTAACTCCCGACGCTTGCATGCGGAGACTGGCTGGAAGGCTCGCTCGACTAAGATCCCTTTCTAAGAGCAAGGTCGCAAATGAGGCGACTTTGGCACTGCCAAGGCGCATGAAGTCATGCAGCAGCACCTCAGGAAAGAAAGTGTACCTGAGCGAGCTGGAGGTAGAGCTTGCTGCCCAGAAAATTTGTGAAACAAGAAATCTGATTCCATCCCCCTGGACGTGGACTACTATATTTGTCAGGTTCAATGCAAGAAATACGAAGGCCTCCCTCTCCCACAACTCCCCACTCCAACCGTTTCAACAACCGGCCCGGGCGAGGCGGCCGAGGCGGCCGAGGCGCATGAAGAAGGTGGACACCAGGGCGATGCCGTAGAAGGCGAGCTCGGAGAACAAGTTCTCGAAGCAGGGCACCGGCATGAAGGAGAGCACCAGGTAGAGGATCACCGTGAAGACTGAAGCCGTGGTGTGCCTGGAAAAAAGGGGCAGGCAACCAACCCAACCCCCCCCCCAACAAAACACCCCATTGAAGTCCAACTCCAAAGGCCACGCAAAGGAGCCGGGGCCCAAACCAGGGGCCCGCCGTCCGCTGTCCGCACCTCATGGAGTTCTGAAAGATCATGCGGTACGCCGCGGGCAGGACCCAGACCGTGGGAGCCAGGGCCAACGCCATCGGCAGCGCCTACCGGTCGAAGCGGGACGGGGAAGGGGGGATGAGGCTACCCCCCTTTTGAGGGTTGGTTGTGTTGGGAAACCAACAAAAAAACGACTTTCTGGGGGTACAGTAAAGAAAGACACAGCCATATGGGTATGAATTAGTATGAATGTTAGGTGGTTGGACCCTTTGGTGGACATTGAACATCGGTGGGGATTCATGTCCACCGATAACTTTTCCGAATGTTCAACATTAAGATTCATATGCAAATGAGAAGGCTCCTGTCCAAAATGGCCAATTGGCCAAAACACCTCTGGTTGAGGAAGACAGGCAAAATGGCCACTTCGGCTGAATATATTGATCAAACCCTGCCACAGGAAATTGGCTTGGCCCCCATGATCCCCATGAACCTCTTCCCAGCTCTAGGCATAGAACATCTGACACTCAAAAGGCTCGTCTGGACCAGCAGCCTGGGGCCTGAGGAACCATCCAACTCTCATCTTGGACCTGTCCCAAGTGGCCTTGAAGCCCAGCCCTAGAAAGACCGCCCTGGGCCTTCCATGGCAGCACCAGCAAGGAGAGGCCCACCTGGCGTCAAAGGAGCTGTACTTGGATGGTAGCAATGTAGATAGCACCTGGCTGTGGCTCAAAAAACCGGTACCAAAATGGAACCCTGGCAAGTGGAAACATGGACCAAAACCTGCGTAACCCCTCCTGTTTAATTTGGAGCCACGTCCACCTGTATTGAAATGTAAAGATCCAGACCCCGTGCTTGTTTCATCATGGAACTCCGCTCGCAGTCACAGCTTGGATTCAGGACGGTTTAGCTGGTGGGTGGGTGGGTAGGTGTGTGTCAAAGAGAGAGAGAGAGAGAGAGAGAGAGAGAGAGAGAGAGAGAGAGAGAGAGAGAGAGAGAGAGAGAGAGAGAGAGAGAGAGAGAGAGAGTGCCCGCAACTTGCGGAAAACAGATGAAGAGAGAGGAAGAGACAGAGAGAAAGGGACAAAGAGAGGAGAGGGGAGGAAGCGAAAGAGAGAAAGAGAGGGGAAGAGAGAAAGCAAGAAAGCAAGAAAGCAAGAAAGCAAGAAAGCAAGAAAGAAAGAAAGAAAGAAAGAACGAAAGAAAACGAAAGAACGAAAGAACGAAAGAACGAAAGAACGAAAGAACGAAAGAGAACGAAAGAGAACGAAAGAACAAAGGAACAAAAGAAACAAACAAAAAAAACAGAAGGAAGGAAGGAAGGAAGGAGGAAGGAAGGAAGGAAGGAAGGAAGGAAGGAAGGAAGGAAGGAAGGAAGGAAGGAAGGAAGGAAGGAAGGAAGGAAGGAAGGAAGGAAGGAAGGAAGGAAGGAAGGAAGGAAGGAAGGAAGGAGAAAGAAAGAAAGAAAGAAGAAAAAAAAAGAAAGAAAGAAAGAAAGAAAAGGAAAGATAGGAAAGATAGGAAAAGAATGAAAGAAAGAAAAGGAAAGATAGGAAAAGAATGAAAGAAAGAAAGAAAGAAAGAAAGAAAGAAAGAAAGAAAGAAATCAAGAACAACAGATAGAAACAAATCAATATAATTAAATACAAAAATAGACAAATGAACAAATAAATAAACAAATAAAGAAAGAAATAAAGAAAAAATGAATGAAAGAGAAGCAGAAAAAAGAAAAGAACAAAGACATCGAATAACAGGCCACCGCACAACAAATGGTATTTCTCTCCGTCGTTAGACAAAGCACGCAAAGCGTGGATTTCGGCTGGGTAAATCTCATCGGCATGAAGCAGGCCGAACCTTGCTGTAGCCCGCGCTCAGGGAGGAGAGCGGCAGCACAGCACCGGCGGCGCCTGGAGCGAAGTTCCGAGGCTGGTAGCCGCTCCATCCATCCGAGGGCCCCTCCCATCCTCCCCACCTGCCGCCGCGTAGGGCCGCAGCCGCCAGGAGGACATGGTTCGGAGCCCGCTCACCGCCTTGGGCTGGGCCGCCTGAGCTGAAACTCAGGGTGCGTTGCTCTACTCTGACATGTGGAAAGGCCGCTAGCAAAGCTCATTCAGTTAAATGAGAAATAGTTGTGAGCCGAGACCTAAATCCTCGATTTGCAGTGGCTGGCAACCTAAAGACAATGGCTCCCTGCTTGAAAGCAAAAGCGGAGGGCAGCAGTAGAGGTGGAAGATCTGAAGCACATTCTTAAAGTGAGATGCATGCCAGCCAAAGCCCAAGCCCTGTTCGCCACAGATGAAGTCCGGCTTTGAGAATTCAGCATTGCAATAATCATCAGCTATATTATGATGCCTTCTGTATACATTACAAGGCTCATAAGAGATCTGATTGCAACAATGCCAATGAACATCATGCGTATTCTCTTTCCGTTTTGCCTGCCACACCGCAAGTGCCGTTGTTCTTCCGCGCCTTGATCTTACAACGCTAGGCCGCCCGATAGGATACAACTTAAGCAAGACAAGCTTTGGTGGTACACAGTGGGATATTTGTTGGTCAGAAACTACCCACCATCAACCCCCCACCCCCACCACCAGCCGCCGCCACCACCCGCCACTGCCACCCGCCACCGCCACCACCCACCCACCCCCACCCACCGCCCACCCACCGCCCACCCACCGCCCGCTCGCCACCCGCTCGCCAGCCTGCCCACCCACCACCACTACATCCACCTCCACGGTAGTCAGCATCAAGGTCTCGGGCGATCACTGAAAGAAAGCTTTGGCCAACTGGGCGCCTTCTTCTCCATGCGCGGCTGCGTCAGCACGCTGGCCACACGCATCTCTGCCCTGGCCGAGAGTCCAAGCAAAGCCCGAAACCAAACACCTTCGTCGCAAGCACTCTTATGGCCAGCAGTTTTGCGTGTCACAAGGTGGTAAAGTGCTCTCCTCAACTAATATGAACAAAAGCAACCAAGGTGAACATGTTGCAAACTTTTGATCCTGTAGGCCCCCTGCTTCGGAATCTGCCTCTGGAAGCGACATCGCTGGTCTACATTGTTCGGGAGCCCCTGGTCTTGCTGCCTGCTGAAAGCAAGATGCGCCCGACTCTACAGCCCAGATGTGGCCTCATCCCTTTGATGCGTTTCTGCAGGCATAGGGCACTCGAATCGGTACCAGAACTACCACACCACTGACATAAAACTTGAGGGGGCTTCAGCGCCTGAAAAATGTCACCCTTGTCAGTCGCCAGATTAGTTTGTGGCAAGCAACCACCCACATCCTGCCCAACGTCCAAAACTAAGGGAAATCGTGCGGGCGGCGTATCTCGTTGAAGGCATCCAAAAGTGTCCACTCCGAAATGTGGGTACATGTCTCTAAGCTGCGTCTTAAACCAATGTGGGTACATGTCTCTAAGCTGCGTCTTAAACCGTCCACTCCAACCATCGCCAATCAAAAGGTTTCCCCGCGCCTTGGCACCCGCGAGAGCGTGGTGAGCTGACACACCCGCGGCTGCATGGGGAGCTTCGGCAGCTGTGCCACCGGGGCCCTGGCGACTGGCAAACTTTAGGGAACAAGTACTTCCCACCAACAAACATGGCAAAGGGCGCACCAAGCCTGGCCAAAGGTGTGTGTGGGCCTAACTTTAGGGAAATTGTACTTCCCACCAACAAACATGGCAAAGGGCGCACCCTCTTGGCCCCCACCAACAAACATGGCAAAAGGCGCACCAAGCCTGGCCAAAGGTGTGTGTGGGCCTAACTTTAGGGAAATTCGCCTCGGCCCCAAAGGGGCCAAGGGCGCTCAGATCTCTTCTCCAAAGAGAATCTTCGCTTTTCCCCTCCCCCAACCCCGACCAAAATTTTGCCCCCCCCCCCCCCAGCCATGTCGGCTGGCCCAAAATCCTGTCCGGCGGGCCTTGAAATTTTCGTGGTTCGTCGGACAATTGCGAAAATCACGAAAACATTGCTTTCTGGCCAGGCCTGTCTGACGTGTCTGAGACTAGGTCAGGCCCAGCCCAACCAGCAACCCGCCTGCTGGCCAGGCCTGTCAGCCCAGCCCACCCAGCCTCAGGCCCAAGCTGTCTGAAACAAGTTTAGCCCAACCACGGCCCCAAGTCATCCAGCAAGCCCAGCCCAGCCTAGCCCAGGCCCCGACACATCTCAGGCACGCCAGCCACTAGGCCGGCCCCCAGCCCAGCCCACCAGCACCTCAGCCCAGCGTGCCAAGGTCAGGCCAACGACCAGTCTAAGACTGGTCTCAAGCTATGCCTGTCAGCCCCTCAGTCCGGCTGCCCAAGCAGCTCAGCCCAGCTGGCCAGGCCTTGACCTCCTGCTCGCGCCTGGCCCCAAGTCATTCAGCAGGCTTAGCCCCTTTGGCGCAGTCCGAGACTGGCCTGAGACTAGCGGCCCAGTCCCTCAGCCCACCTGCTGGCGTGTCTTACATGTCTGCGACTGGCCTCAGGCCCAAGTGTGTATGAAACAGGCCTTGCCCATCCAGCAACCAGCCCAGCCCGCAGCCAGTGCCCGGCAGCCAGCAACCCTCGTGGCTGAGACTAGCTTCAGGCCCAGCCCAACCAGCAACCCACCTCAGCCCAGCCTGCCCAGCCCAGGCCCCGGCGCATCTAACGTGTCTGAGACTGGCCTCAATCCAACGACCAGTCTCACGTGTCTGAGACTGGTCTCATACGCCAGCTACTAAGCCTGTCTGACGTGCCCCAGCCCCCCAGTCCGGCTGCCCAAGCAGCTCAGCCCAGGCTGACCAGGCCTTGACCTCCTGCTCGTGTCTGGCCCCAAGTCATCCAGCAGGCCCAGCCCCTTCGGCGCAAGTATGCCAGCCTGAGACTAGCCTCAGGCCCAGTCCCTCAGCCCGCCTGCTGGCGTGTCTTACGTGTACACTGGATTTCGGTGTTCCTGACCCTGCCCTCAAACTAGGCTGGGCCGAGGCGGGCAGCGCGAAGCGTTTACAATTGTACTTCCCACCAACAAACATGGCAAAGGGCGCACCCTCTTCGCCCCCACCAACAAACATGGCAAAAGGCGCACCAAGCCTGGCCAAAGGTGTGTGTGTGGGCCCAACTTTAGGGAAATTGTACTTCCCACCAACAAACATGGCAAAAGCACTCTTGGCCTGGCAAAAGACGTGTGTGTTTGTGCACCAAGCTATGTCGATTGGTGGGAGGGCAACTAAGCCAGCTGGAAACACTCCCAGAAGCACCTTTAGGATCTCCAAGTACCCCTCGTCCACTCCGCACACACAGAAGCAACTGACAGCCGTTGCAGGGAGCCCCGCCAACGACACAAAAGTCTGCTGGCAGAAGCTGGAACCATCGCCTTCCCCCCTTGTAAGATTGAAATCAGCCAGTCCAGTTTCCTAGCGCAACCTCCAAGGGTTGCCGGCGACACAAAGCTCTCACGTTCAGGAAAATTGGGGATGAGCTGGAACGTGAGGGGCCGCCCCATGTCAGGATGCCGCGGAGTTCTGCCTCTCCTACCAAAGGGGTCTCACCAAGCCAGTGCCTTGACTCCAGCTCAACCTGTCTCCCCGCGAGCCTCGTCAGAGTGGTGCGCAGGGGCGCGGCCATCCGCGACCTCCGTCAACACAACATCCTGTCGTGCCTCTGAAATCCAACGATACAAAATATAAAAAAGAGACCTGCTGTTGGATGTTGGAGGCATGTTCTGCCGGTATGTGCTTCCCTGCTGTCGGACTGTTTGATTATGCCACCAGTCAGCTTTCGCTACCCTCCAGCTCAAACTGATCCTCCAAGTCTAAACCAACAAAAAACAGACGAGTACCAGCCAGGAAGCAAGTGACTGGTTTAGGGACTCTGGTGGAGTAATTGGGAGCGAGTGTGTGTGTGTGTGTGTGTGTGTGTGTGTGTGTGTGTGTGTGTGTGTGTGTGTGTGTGTGTGTGTGTGTGTGTGTGTGTGTGTGTGTGTGTGTGTGTGTGGTGTGTGTGTGTGTGGTGTGTGTGTGTGTGTGTGTGTGTGTGTGTGTGTGTGTGTGTGTGTGTGTGTGTGTGTGTGTGTGTGTGTGTGTGTGTGTGTGTGTGTGTGTGTGTGTGTGTGTGTGTGTGTGTGTGTGTGTGTGTGTGTGTGTGTGTGTGTGTGTGTGTGTGTGTGTGTGTGTGTGTGTGTGTGTGTGTGTGTGTGTGTGTGTGTGTGTGTGTGTGTGTGTGTGTGTGTGTGTGTGTGTGTGTGTGTGTGTGTGTGTGTGTGTGTGTGTGTGTGTGTGTGTGTGTGTGTGTGTGTGTGTGTGTGTGTGTGTGTGTGTGTGTGTGTGTGTGTGTGTGTGTGTGTGTGTGTGTGTGTGTGTGTGTGTGTGTGTGTGTGTGTGTGTGTGTGTGTGTGTGTGTGTGTGTGTGTGTGTGTGTGTGTGTGTGTGTGTGTGTGTGTGTGTGTGTGTGTGTGTGTGTGTGTGTGTGTGTGTGTGTGTGTGTGTGTGTGTGTGTGTGTGTGTGTGTGTGTGTGTGTGTGTGTGTGTGTGTGTGTGTGTGTGTGTGTGTGTGTGTGTGTGTGTGTGTGTGTGTGTGTGTGTGTGTGTGTGTGTGTGTGTGTGTGTGTGTGTGTGTGTGTGTGTGTGTGTGTGTGTGTGTGTGTGTGTGTGTGTGTGTGTGTGTGTGTGTGTGTGTGTGTGTGTGTGTGTGTGTGTGTGTGTGTGTGTGTGTGTGTGTGTGTGTGTGTGTGTGTGTGTGTGTGTGTGTGTGTGTGTGTGTGTGTGTGTGTGTGTGTGTGTGTGTGTGTGTGTGTGTGTGTGTGTGTGTGTGTGTGTGTGTGTGTGTGTGTGTGTGTGTGTGTGTGTGTGTGTGTGTGTGTGTGTGTGTGTGTGTGTGTGTGTGTGTGTGTGTGTGTGTGTGTGTGTGTGTGTGTGTGTGTGTGTGTGTGTGTGTGTGTGTGTGTGTGTGTGTGTGTGTGTGTGTGTGTGTGTGTGTGTGTGTGTGTGTGTGTGTGTGTGTGTGTGTGTGTGTGTGTGTGTGTGTGTGTGTGTGTGTGTGTGTGTGTGTGTGTGTGTGTGTGTGTGTGTGTGTGTGTGTGTGTGTGTGTGTGTGTGTGTGTGTGTGTGTGTGTGTGTGTGTGTGTGTGTGTGTGTGTGTGTGTGTGTGTGTGTGTGTGTGTTCATATCTGCGACGGCTGACGCGGATTGGTGGCTTGGATTCCGGAAAACCATCCATGGTCCACGATCGTCTCATTCCACGGAAGCCAATCTTGTCGTCCACTGGCATGTGCCAAGTCTTATGAGTCTCTTTCGTCAGCTCCCTCTTCGGCCGGGGAAATCCTCCCTGTGCTGTGTAGCGATGGATTCCCTGGATGACGGCCGCGGTGTGACACTGTGGGTTTGTGCTTGGGTGGAGGGCACCATGAATGTTTCATGAGACAAAAGCTTTGTCCCAGCGCAGCCAAAATAGGAGTAACTCCATTTGGGGGCCCAATCAAAGAGTATGCTCCCCAAATACGCACTCCCTACGAATACCGACTGCTTGTGTAGTTCTTCGGGGCATTATACACTGCTGGGGGCTTCGCGGGGCCAGAAGTTGTGGAAGAGCTGCCTTCGCGAAAACTGGCTTCGCAGCGCGGCTTCGCGAGGCAATTTTGGTTGCTAGCCTTCGCGAAGTGGCTTCGCCTGTGAGACCGCGGGGCCTTCTCGAGATGCACGAGCCTTCACAGCACGCAATGTATCACACAAGTGCCTTCGCGAACCTTTGGAGAGTTCCCCCTGCCAAAATCCATCCTCCATCTGAACAATGAAGCTTCCCGGCTCTGACCGAGTGCGTGGTTTGAACTAAGGGACTCAGGAAGCGGTTTTTGCCCCCCGGAAAGCCGCTAGGGCGCCCTGACATCGCCGCACGCAGCGCCATGCTGACCTGGCCGATTGCCGGGAATGCTTATGACTCAAAAAGCACTCGGCGGATCCCTTGAAGGGGCGCCTACAATTTTCATGTTGGTGGCTGGCAGTAAAGGGGAGCAATTTTGGACACAACTGGAAGAGAGGGAAAGATGCGTGCAACAGAGAGATATACAAATACATGTACAGAAGGCTTCTCATTTGCCCTCGCAATTGAAATCGTCCAAATAGTGGATGAAAAACTAGAGATCAAACAAGGACCCGTCCAAAATGACCCTTTCCAACTGGTTTGACACAGCCATATCGTTCGTTCATGATTTACATAAAGCATTCGTGTCAAAAATCGCTATCCCGCAACGAAGCACTGCAACACCAAAGTCTTCAAGGATAAGAGCCGCCCGACATCGAGAGATATCGTCTTTTTTCCCTATGGGTATGCGTCAAAAGGACCCAAAGTGGCGGCTTTCCTTTTTGATGTCTCTTGAAACCTACCCAAGCAGATGTTTTAGCCATGGCATACCATGGCACATGTTGCCCGTGCCCTTTGTTTTGGAGGGAAACCAAAACGAAATCATCCATGTTGCTTTTGTGGGTTCGCTGTCTTGAGACAAACCCGCAACGATCGTAGGCCCGACTTCAGGGAACTTGAACCCAGCCTGTCAGTGAGGCCCGTCGTCAACTCGCACGGCAGCTAAGATGCTGCGGGATGCAAGCTCGCCAATTGATGAAACACGCAACCCTACTCTCAGCCACTCAACATGGGGAATTCTCCTTGAACAACCGACTAGAAGCAGCATGGAGCAGCAAAGTAAGCCACTTTCCCAGAAGCGGCAGAAAGCGCAAAATATCCTAGATCACCGTGAGGATCACCTTCTGCGAGCATCAGGTAAAACATTGGCTCTGCGCCAGGCTGAGTTGAAACAAGCCTTTGAGCTAGCAATATCTCGACAGAAAGCCATTCAGAGTTGACATCCTGTCGAACAGGCATCAGTTGCAAAATGCTCCAATGCACCATTTGTTGAGGGCCAGTGGTTCATTTCTTCAGGCAGACTCGGTGGGGAAAGATGGAGGAAGAAAGGAGGAACATAGCAGCAAGAGCCCAAGCCACGTTCTGCTCGATGTCTAGGTTCAATGTAAAACAAGCGGAGCAAGAACGATCACATGCGTGTTGGACCACAGCACAGTTATGCAACAGCATCTGCAGGCCATTTCTCCAGCCGCGAGTCTTGCAACCGGCGCTAAGCCACTAGTGGGGGGAAACGGACATTGACTGTGCTATCCACAAGCCCATGTGGCCTGACGCACGCCATGCAGAGGGCATCTGCGCATAGGTGGCTTTTAGGTTGGAAATAGATGGATTTCCCTGGTAGATGAGCAAAAACCACCAGGTAAACCGGGAATCGCCATCTATTTTTCTACCAAAACAACCAAAAAGGACACCTAGGAATCTGCGTCCAATGTTTGGGCCATCTGCTTTCTCGCTTGCACCTTCCCTCGGTCCTGCATGGATTTACGCCAGGCTCCCAGAAGGCGCGGCCGAGCTGCCACACTCCCCAAGTGCCAGGTGCGGCCAAAGCCGCAAACTGCGAGCAACTCTCAGGGCGGGAGACGGGCATTTCACCATTGCACTCCCTTTTGGCGGAAGGCCCCTGTACAAGTGTCAGGTGCCATGTTAGGAGGGGCACATTCGGATATGGGGAGGATAAGGAACAGTTGCAATGTGATAGAAAGCCGCCATGCTCACCGGGGCATGTGCTGAGCGACTGGCTCTTGATGTCGCTGTGAAAACTGGAAGCCTGCGCCATTCCGCTTGCACGCCCTGCGACGAATTCTGGCCATCGGCAAGGGCCTGGCGCAAAGATCCACAGCTCGCCGCAGGCGTCAATGGTAACCAGCATGCTCTGTGTTGAAAAGGCAGTTTTGAGCCAACGCTTTCCACCAAGCCCGCCCCAACTCCCGCCAGAAATCCAGACACCGGATCTAGGGCTTTCACCCAAGCCCAGATGCCTCTTTTACTCGAGAACGCCCAAAACATCCATACGCCCTTCACAAGGGTCGCCTAGCAGCAGGAATCTGCCGCAGGAGCCGGGGCGCCTCCTCGTTTCCGCGCCATGGATCTGGCTGTACCCAAAATGGCTTGCCCTGGTAAGAGGAAACATGTGACTAAAACCTGCTGTTTTCTGGTGGTTTAATTTTGACCCGTGCCCGTCTGGAAACTTGGAACCCCCACAGCCTATGGAGGGACACCCTTGACACGCTTCAAGGGGTGGCCGCTCATGTCACCGTGGGAGCACTCAACTGGAGGGTAAGAACAGCATCCAGGTTCTTCCAGATCCCCTCCACACTCCTCCTGAATGGATGGGGGGCGTCAGCTTCAGCGTCTGCATGTAGCCTGCCAAACATCGCTTCTATGGGTGTTTTTGTTTGAGGTGTCTCCCCATTTAAAGGCAAAAACACACTCGAGCTGGATCTTTGAGGAGCTGCTGGGGGGCTCATTGCTGAACTGACTGCTTACCACCCTACCCGGCACCACACACACACACACACACACATACACACACGGGTTCCTGTTTCTAACGGACCCTCGCTCTCAGGCCCCCTACAAGCCCCTGTGTCTGCGTATGTCAATGCATATGTGTTGGTGTCGGTGTCTGTGTTTGTGTCTGTGTGTGTGTGGATGTGGAGGAAACGACCTCCGTATCGGACACGTCATTTCCTAAAGGAAGCTCCGCTCGCCTTGCTGCCGGCCGAGGTACTCGCTGGACGTGTAGCCGTCCTACACGTAGCGGATGGACGCTACGCCCCCCCCAAGACCCTCAAAGACAGTTTGCCAACGCGGGCTGGGACTGATTCTTCTGCAAACTGATCCGAGTTCCAACATGCGCCCAAGTACAAACAATATGCCCAGCCATGCCCCAGCCTGCCCATGGTTCGACATGTCCTCCTGGCAAGCTGCAAGGCTTCAGACCAAGCATTGAATGAGAGAGGCTGTCATACTCAAACGGCAACGCTTTGCAAGGCCCTGTCAAACACTGTGTCCACGGGGTGCTATCACGACTTGGCTCCACTTGTGACTGGTTCTTACCAAAAAATGCAGAGCTGCATGATGCATTCAGAGGGGTTCGACACAGTCGCACCTAGGCTTTAGCTCACTTGGTACTCCGAGGGCGGAAGCTAGTGGGGTGTCGCAATCCTTATTTCCAGGGAATTAAGGGGAGGGGCATTGACCTCTGAAAACCGTGGAAGACAAGCTGAAGGTCTCTTGATCGTGGTAGCTCCCCAACTTTTCAGGCAGGGAGTGTCTGAAAAAGTTGTGAACCATTGAAACCCTTCCAAACTGTTTCCCACTTCAAAAACCCTCATGGAGTGTCTTCAAATTGTTTCCCACTTACCCCAAAAACCCTTCCAAAGACGCAGCCATCCATGAGTCCATGGGTCCGGTGCATACGCGCCTGCTGCTGCTTCAAGACCAGCTGCATGGCTTGGTTGGCGGTGGCCAGAAAGGCCTCGGACCAGAATTCTCTGACTGACACACCCGGTGGAGAAAGTTCCTTTCACGCCGCCTGACCTAAGAATCCCCGGTGTCTGATTCGATTCCGTTGCAAATACCAACAAACGGTATGCTTCCAACCATGGTTACGAAATGGATTTCGTCCACCCACCCCATCAACCAGAAGCTCTTTAATCCTGGGTTGACATTCTCTGGAACCAAGAGATTCTCAAGCTGGAGCTGAACACCACAAAACAGCCCCACAACTCTGGCAAATGTAGATCGAACCCCATGCGGGGACAACCCCCCCCTCCTCCTGCCGAAAGGGGACCACAGCATAAGCAGCATAAGTGAAAAGACCATGTGGCATTGGTGGCGCCCCATTCTTGTTGGAAGGAACCGAGAAACACGGCAGAAGGCACTTGGGCGCAACTCGCCTTTGACTTGACACAGACATGTCTGAGGCGTGAGCATCATCTACATGCTGGCCGGTCACCGCTGAGGTCTCCAAAAACAGAAGACCTTGGCAAAAACCGCGCAGCCAGGGCGCCAGTCTCTCGGATGCTGTCGTAAACCCACTCTTTTTGGCGTGCAGTCTTCTCACGTTCCGTTTCTGACCGGAATATGTCGCACAAACGCCACCTAAAGAGTTGCCACGGTCTGGGTCTTGCGTCCCCAATGGCACCCCGAAACTCACAACCAGGACAGCAAACAAGGCAAAGAAAGAGACAACTCATGTCATCCACCTGTACTGTATCCCTGCAACTTGTCCAACCACTCTTGGTTGGACTGTAGAAACCCAAAGGTTTAGTTTAACCTTCAGTTGGTTGATTTAGAAACCCGACGATTTCCAAAAGATCAAAAAAGCCGCATGTCAAAAGACGCGCCATGCTCTGAGTTGAAGCCTTGAGATCTGGGGCCACGCGCCATACCTCCGTGCCAACATCTGACCCTCCTCGTAGCTGATTTGCCTCTGTTGCGCCTGGCAAATTCCCCTACAACTTCAGAAGCGTCAGGAGACAACAAGAGGTTCTGGATTATATAGTACATCTCGATTGTGTTCAGTCGCCCGTGAGTGATTATGTTGTCCGTATTTTAAGCCAACAGGTTGATCAGCTCACTGCAAATGCTAGCTGCACCGCGAAAAATGCCACAGCACAAAAGGGCTGTAGGGCTCTTTCGGCGTTTTTTCAGCATCTTTACAGACCCCAACATGCCTTGTGAAATCAGCCGGATTCGATCAAGGCCGCAGGCCCAGGCTTGAAGAAAGAAGGTTTGAAGGTGAAAGCACCGTCGTCACTTGGCTATGGGTCAAAGCCCAAATCGTACCCCCGGTGAACATCCCAATCCAACCACTAAAATAGGTTCTAAAATAGGTGGTGCACCTGCCAACCAAAATGGTACCATTCATTGACCCACAGCCATTTGGCAGTTCAAAGCTCAAACGTTCCCGCCGGATGCTCTTGTGTGCACTGAATCAATGCAGGGCTGCGATTGGAAGAGACAGCATGTTGCACTCCAAGCCAGGACCTCTCTCAAGAGCTCGCGAAACCAACTCCCCTTTCCTGCTTGAAATATCGAGACATGATCAAGAGCAGGGTGGCCTTGTCCGCCTTGTTCCCAACCAGCGTGATGACAAGGTCCGGGTCCGCATTTTCCCTCGCCTCCTTCAACCTCGTCTCTTGCTTTTTTTGAAGCTCAAGTAGGACTGAAACTGTACCCCATGAAACCCGGACGTGCCCAAATATCAGCAAAAATTCCATGCGCCAAAAAAAGAAACGTGGGCAGTGCTTGGCACACAAAAGGGGGGGTGGAGCGAAAACGCGCGCCGCGTGCCCATTGGCAGTCAGCATCAAAGACGCCTTTGGTCGATGCGGTCTTTGCGAGCCCATTCCCTCCCAGCTCTGACGTCCCCACCACTGCAAGATGTGCTCAAAGCTGTCCCGCCTCAGCAATGGGCTGAGCCAAGTTTCACGAGCCGGGCAAGGAAGGTTCTTGGCTGCACAAAACTGGCAACCCTATTGCACATCGACGTGTTCAAGGAATATAAGGCTGTGGCCTTTCCACAAGTATGGCTGTGGCTCAAAAAACCGGTACCAAAATGAAACCCTGGCAAGTGGAAACATGGACCGAAACCTGCGGTTTGCCCCTCCTGGTTAATTTTGAGCCACACCTATATATTCCCAATGGAGTTTCGAAACTTCAAAACGCAGACCTTGTGTCGCCTGATTCCTTGCTACCTGAAGGACCAACCCGATTTCTTTCATGACTTTCATGCGGCGAGAACAAGGCAGGTGCTTCCCAGACACTTGAACAGCGACTCTTGACTCTGCCTATCTCACATCCAATTCGATTTTTGGCTTGTGCATGGGATAGCGAATTACATGGCTCAAAATTGTCGCATTCGCAGTGTTGAAACTCTTGAAGAAGCAAACATCCTCTTGGCAGAGCGGGTTCCAGCCTTTGGGGGCACAGTCCCGTTGGGGGTCCTGGACGAGGCATCCGTGGGGACGAGGACGTCAGTCGCAACGGTGTCACCAGGATCCAGTTGCCGCCGCGCGCCCTTTTACTGGCTTGGTGTCCGGTATATTCACCTCCTGCACGTTGGGCAAAGCTCCCGCGACGAACATAGCGGTCACTAAGAACGCGAGCTGGTGAGCATGCCGAGGGCGGCCGGACGCCGGAGCTTCGCTTTGAGCCGATCCGCACGTGGCTCCGGCCATGCTCTGGCCATGCTTTGGCCACAGAAACCCTCTACTCTCGGGGCTCTGGCCTGAAGCCCTCGCTGATTGAACTGCTGCGAAGCCTGGAACCGTTGAAGGGATGAAAGGGGGCCTTGGCTGATCAAGAGCAGCACCATGAAGGCTCGGAAAACCAAACACAAACAGTTGGTCGCTAAAGGGACCAAAAAGCGAGCCCGCTGGGGGACAACGAACACGCAGAAACCAACAAACCGATGCCCGCACATCCTGCAGTGGGCCCGGCTCGGGTGAGCCCATTCTGCGCCAGGAAAAGCTCGCAGCTAGGGCTGTGCTCAAGCCACCAGACTCTCTAGGTGAAACCCTAAGCCTAGGGAGAGGCGGACATTGGTCCGGTCGGTCCACTGAAATATGGCTTTGTCTAAGACCCTTTGTGGCGGTGCCTTCGGAGAAATACTGGCGCATGTTCGAAACCAAACGCGTATCGTATCTGAACGCGCTTAGAACTGTCAGAGAACCTCCTCCACTTTGCTAGCCCTCAGGCCAGGAGGATCATCCAGGCGATGGCGCAGTAGAACAGCCACACCTGGGAAGAACGTCACCAAAGAAATGAGAGCCAAGGATAAGAGGAATAAGAACCTGTACAAACTGTGAACATTAAATCCAATTTAAACCCCCCCCCCCCCCCCCCCATCGAGACTTGAGCAGATCCGGATCAGCGTAACTGGGCCGGTCAGGCCGGATAGATGCCCAAAAGCTTCTTCTCCTCACGCCCCAAGTAAGGCAAACCACCGTGTAGAACCTTCAAGGGCCCAAGGTCGCAAATACCACGGGCTTGCAAAAAAAAATGCGTCCGGAGTTCAGGGCAGTCTCAGGGATTTAAAAATGTAGGTTCCCCCTGTAAATGTCACCTGCGGAAGCTCCCCAAGGCAACCGTCTCAAACCAGAGCCTCGAAACTCGGCGGCCCCCTTTGGTCTCCCTTCAAACCAACCTCAGAAAGGATACCACCACCAACACAAAACATATACCAAAAAACAGATCGCACGTTTTTCGGTCCGCATGGGGCTCTTGTCACTCCTCTGGCACCAGCTCGGAGACAAAGCCCAAAGACGCCTGCCGCCGTTTTCTTGGTCTCTGGTCCACGGCAAAGCCAACGGCCTTCCCCCCGACAGTAAGTTTCGTCCCGCCGGGTTCTTTGCTGCCAGGGCACCCTTTACGAGGCACCAATATCCGCCGACCCCCCTGCCTGCAAGGGCAAGGCGCTGGGGGAGTGTTCGTTTAGCGTTGGAGCGTGACTGTGGCAGCCTTCTCCCTTCCCTTTCGCCCTCGCCCGTTCAGCCCTGTACCTTACCAGCCTTCTTTCTTTCCCTTTTTTCTTGTTCTTCTTCGTTTATTTTCTTTCCGTTTCCTTTCTGCTGCCGGCGCACTCCTTTGGTTGGTGCTCGCTGTGGACAAACGAGCGCGGCCTGGAAAAGCGCGGGAAGCGAAGCTTTTGTGGCTGGCCGCTCCCTCTGGACCGATAGCCTTACTGCATATTGGACTCAAACGCGACGTTAGGCACCCGGCCGCGGCGGAGCAGGCTGCCGGCGCACTCCTTTGGTTCGTGCTCGCTGCGGCGAAAAGCGAGTGCGGCCTCCAAGCGCGCTGGACGCGAAGCTGTTCTTGCTGGTTGCGCCCTGGGGACCGATAGCTTTCTACTTTCTATATAGGATTCAAAGGTGACGTTCGGCACCCGGCCGCGGCGGAGCAGCCGCCCTTTGCAAGACGCACAGCAAACCCAAAGGGAGAAAGACCAGGCATAGGCAAACTGTGACAGACGCAGGCGCACATGGGCATCATGCTGAGCGGGTGTGATGCCACTACACCAACTGCCCCTGAGCTGAGGAGGCCGAGAGTGCTCAACCACCTGCTGGGCACAGCTTTCAGCGCTGAAGCTCTGTCACGTTCGGCCTGTCTTCTTCCTATCTGCTGCCGGCGCACTCCTTTCGTTGGTCCTCGCTGTGGGCAAACGAGTGCGGCCTGGAAAAGCGCTCAAGCACCTGCAGGGCACAGTTTTCAGCGCTGAAGCTCTGTCACGGCCTTTTTTCCTCCTTTCTGCTGCCGGCGCACTCCTTTGGTTGGTGCTCGCTGTGGGCAAACGAGCGCAGGCCCGCCCGTTCGGCCTCTTTTCTTCCTTTCTGCTGCCGGTGCACTCCTTTGGTTTCTTTCCTTTTCGTTTCTGCTGCCGGCGCACTTGTTTGGTTGGTGCTCGCTGTGGACAAACGAGCGCGGCCTGGAAAAGCGCGGGAAGCGAAGCTTTTGTGGCTGGCCGCTCCCTCTGGACCGATAGCCTTACTGCATATTGGACTCAAACGCGACGTTAGGCACCCGGCCGCGGCGGAGCAGGCTGCCGGCGCACTCCTTTGGTTCGTGCTCGGCGAAGTGAGAGCGGCCTCCAAGCGCGCTGGACGCGAAGCTGTTCTTGCTGGTTGCGCCCTGGGGACCGATAGCTTTCTACTTTCCATATAGGATTCAAAAGTGACGTTCGGCACCCGGCCGCGGCGGAGCAGCCGCCCTTGGCAAGACGCACAGCAAACCCAAAGGGAGAAAGACCAGGGATAGGCAAACTGTGACAGACGCAGGCGCACATGGGCATCATGCTGAGCGGGTGTGATGCCACTACACCAACTGCCCCTGAGTTGAGGAGGCCGAGAGTGCTCAACTACCTGCAGGGCACAGCTTTCAGCGCTGAAGCTCTGTCACGTTCGGCCTGTTTTCTTCCTATCTGCTGCCGGCGCACTCCTTTGGTTGGTGCTCGCTCTGGGCAAACGAGTGCGGCCTGGAAAAGCGCTCAAGCACCTGCAGGGCACAGTTTTCAGCGCTGAAGCTCTGTCACGGCCCGCCCGTCCGGCCTTTTTTCTTCCTTTCTTGCTGCATATTGGACTCAAGCGTGACGTTAGGCACCCGGCCGCGGCGGAGCAGGCTGCCGGCGCACTCCTTTGGTTCGTGCTCGCTGCGGCGAAGCGAGTGCGGCCTCCCAGCGCGCTGGACGCGAAGCTGTTCTTGCTGGTTGCGCCCTGGGGACCGATAGCTTTCTACTTTCTATATAGGATTCAAAAGTGACGTTCGGCACCCAGCCGCGGCTCGCCAAAGGTGGCCCCCAGTGGAGGGGTCGGCGGCACTGGGCGGCAGCCCTTAAATTGTTCAACAGGAGGATTACACACTCCTTTTCTGAAGCAATATGGGTGTGGCTCAAAATTGAATAGGAGGGGTTACGCAGGTGTTGGTCCATGTTTCCACTTCTCGGGGCAACCCATGTTGGTACAGGTTTTTTGAGCCACAGCCATATGCAAGGTATTCCCTTTGGTGTTTTGATCTGTCCCCTTTGGCTTCCCTGCCAAAAGGCCCGATATTGCGACAATTCACGCATTCACGGCCGGACGCCCGGGACGGGCTCACGTGGCGACAAAGAGAGAAGCTCCCCCCTCCAACAAACATGTTGTCCTCAGAGATGGTATATTGCACGATCCTGGGTTGACAAAACAAACCCTGAAAATGAAAACCCTGTCCGTCCAGAAGGGTTGTGCCAAGGGCCTTCTCTTTGCCTTTGGAAAGATACAATGAAAACCCCAGAGTGGCCTTGTGACCCGGTTTGCCAGAGTGCAAGATAGCCTGGGGTGCAGTGCAAGTGCTGATTTCGCACTGGGAGGGGTCAGGAATAGCTGGGCGCGAAACTGCAACAAAGAGCCACTGTCAAACATTCCTGGCCATAGTTGAGCAAATAGAGGCTGCCATTGTTTCAACTCATTCATGCAGGGAACTGGTCTGCTCGATGGTGGCTCCTTCACATGACGGTGGGCATTCAAATTTTCTGCCCTGACTCTCAAGCTGCTTGGGCCTCGTCTGCAGAACATGGTCCTTCTCGTAGAGAGGTTTGACACGATCTCTCGCCAGAAACGCTTCCATCCCGAAGGTCAATTTGACGGGGGGATCTGATTTCAAGATTCGGGAAATCGTGCTGTGGATGGACAAAATCCTGCACCACCCAAGACATTCCGGAATGATTCGATTCCCCTGTAAATAGCAACAAACAATGGGTTTCCCATGGCTTCGAAGTGGTGCGAAATGGATTTCGCAACCATCCACGGTATGTCCGTGACCCACCGCTTGCCTTCTTTTCCAACCCAGAAACAAAACCGCTCGCAAAACTACGGCGTCGACGCCTTTGCGGACCAGGCCAGGCCGGCCAGCACAAAGAGCATCTCGGCCGCGCAACGAGGGGCGGTTCACAAGGAGACCCTCGCGGGGGGGCCTAAGAAAAGCTTACCATCCTGGTGGTGCCAGAGACAAACCAACTAAGTCTCAGTTGACTAGTGCCATTTTTCAGGAAATTGAGACAAACCAACTAAGTCTCAGTTGGCTAGGGCCATTCTTCGGGAAATTGATGCTGCCGCGAAAGAGCGCAGACGCTCACTTGCCATGATGTGTACAAAGAATGTAGCACCCTGCTAAGAACCCGAACTTTAAACAATACGTCGACTGTGGGTGCAAGGTGTCCGGGCGCGATATCTGGCATTCAGGTCACTTGTACCGTGCACTCGGACTCCTGAATGCATCTCAGCCGTCTCTGTTATCTAAGATGGGTCAAATGTGGTCGGTGGGACACACGCACACACATCCTGCTTGACTCTACTTGACAGCATCCGAAAGCGGTGCTGCAGTACAGGACGGATGACTTGCTACAAAAAGAGACACCGCCCCCTAAAGCAAGCGAATTCCGAATTTCCATCCCTGAACAGGCCCAGCCACAAACCTCAAAATCCGCAGAGTCGAAAAGAAGTGCGTCAGAAGCCTCTTCTTGCCAACTCAAATTGGCAGTTGGAAAGTGCAAGCGAAGTGCTCGGCGCCTCTCGAAAAACGGTCCAAGTAGCCAAAATAGTCAACTAGTCAAGCATTACGTCGGCGTCAGTGTGCCGGGAAAGAATTGAGAGAGAAGCCTCCAGCAGGTTGGCATGTTCAAGCTTCAGGGAAGAATGATAAGGCATCAAGACGGCTGCTGCCTGTTTACCACAAGCAAAGCAAGGTGCTGTTTGAGTCCACACCCATCTTCGGGGGGTCGTTTGCCCGCATCGTTCATCACATCACAACGCTTTTGCGAACGCCAATTGGGGCAGTACCCTGCCTTCAGCCAGTCGATGTGAAGCAACATCGAGCAGAAGGCCGACAAGACGAGCGGGAAGATGCAGTAGCCTCATTGAATCAACCCTCCGCTCGCCACCGAAGCACGGCTCTGGGGACCAGGGAAGGGAAAACCCGGTCCAACTGAACGCCCAGAGCGACTTGCTAAGTGCGGTTTGCCCAGCAGCCGAGCACGCAGACGGTCTGGAAGAAGGACACCTGTCCGGTTCAGAGAGCGGGACTCAGACTGGTGGGTTCGGGATTGAAGCTTGAGGGTAAATGGGAAAGCACCCCCAAAGCCCGGCAAAGCCACCAAGCAAAGTCACCAAATCAAAAGGAGGGTTAAAGCACCTCTGGCTCTTTCCAAGTGATAAGAGGCATCTTGACCTGGGGTGAAAACCATGCGCCTTCCCTCGGAGCAGCACTGCGTTCAGCGTGACCACGGCCGAGCCCACCCAAACGATGACGAAAATGTCCGCGAAGGCATAGTTGGCCTGATGGGGAGGGGTCAAGCATTCTCATGCTTGATCTGTCCTTTGGGGGAGGCATGTCACTTTGACCTGTTACAATGCACATTGCTTTGGGACGAAGACTCCAGTACTGACCATCCGCATCGCACATCATCTTGCCCATACTACATTGTTCAAACAACACTGCATTAGCTCTAGTTCGAAACATTTGGATTCCCTGCAAGTGACCCATGTGTATTCAAGTGTCACGGTTCTAAACTGTCAATATGTCTATACAGCCAATATGTCTAACACACCAAGCAAGCCTTCAAGAATGGAGTCCAGAAACTCCTGCAGCGTGTGCCTGCCCGCCCTTGAAACTTAACAATCCGCGACTGCTCGTACGTGTGTCCTAAGGGGATATCCTATCACCACTGTTCTCTCTCTCTCTCTCTCTCCCTCTCTGAGAATGTGACCTGGCACCTCTTGGCAAACCACTGGCGCTATTTTTTGGTTAACCCCTCCCTTGGGTCGCAGTGGGGAGAAACAACCTGGGAAGTGTCAATATGCTTGGTGAAGGCCGAAAACCAGATGTGCAAGACAACAGTCGGAATTGCATGCCGCCGTATCCCCCTTTTAACACCTTGGTGACATTTGGATGTTTCCCAAAAAGACGACACCCATTTGACTCGCATAGAGAAACCTCCCAAACCCATCGGAGAACTGATCTGGGTGGGACCCACGAGCCATTGGGACCCAGAAGCCCTGCCTGTACGGAGTTCGCGGCCTGGCAAAAAGGGGTCGCTTGGTAACCCACCGGCATCCCGTAACCCGGGAAGCCAAGACGCCGCCCACGATCGATCGATCCCCTCATGGAAGCTTCCTTGAGAGCCTCCATACACCACAAGCCTCCAAGGTGCGGCCGGCCGCTAAGACAAGAGCGCCGCGCTTGAGAGAGACATCCATCTTGCATGCCCCATGCCTGAAAAACCCAGTTACAGCACCTATCCATGAAACATCTAAAAAAAGGGCGCTTGCCAAACGGCCAGTGAACCCCCCGTATGAAGAAACCATTTATTTATTTTTCTCACCGGGGGTCAGCTGATCGGATCGGGTCCCGAGCCGATCCCAACAACCCCCCTTCCTGCGCTGAGAGGATGAGGCCCAGCGCCAGGCACAGCAGCAGCGGGCCCCAGAGGTCCCACTCCTTCAGCCGCCGGCCTCACGCGAAAGCTCCGGGCCTCGAGCCGAGTCGAGGATCGATCCGCGCCAGGCGAAAAAAACCAAGCCCCCATTTGCAGCCAGCAAAGCAGTGGGTTGCCACATAAAGCGTCATCCCCCTCTTTTTTTCCGACACCATGTGCCACCCCTCCCATCTGATTCTGGCCGCCTCTATCATTCACATTCGCCGGCATCATGACGTACCTCAATCAGGTCCCACGGCCGCAACTCTGAGACTCGATTGGCAGCACTCTGGAACTCAAGCAACTTTACCGATCCAAGCGTCCTCAATATGAGGCATTGGCCAAGAATCCTCTATGCGCCATGAAACTCTTTGGAAGATGTGAAGGCATGGAAGCAGAATGTCCACGCGAAAGAACTGCCGTTGAACCGCTACTACGTGGGTTCTGATGCCAGGGCCGCCACTTTAATCATTCCAACTTGTATCGTGGCCCGAACGCACTGTGCCAGGTGCACAGAGGAGTGAGAGACATTGCGACTGCAACCCTCATCTCTTGCCTGCCAAGGGCCCAGTTCTGCTTTCAGGTCTTGAACATGTCCAACCCAGCAACAAACAAAGTTCTCCCTGAGCGTGTGGTACAGGGTCTAGTTGCCCAAAATAAACTGAACCCGCACGAAGCAGAAAAGGGAGACCGGCATGGCCCCAACCAGATGCAACGAAACAAATGATAGACTTCCGGCTCAGCCCTCTTCACGCTGAACCTTGACAGCACAAGCAACGGAAACCCCTTGCCAGGCAGCATCAGCTTCTGCCCCACCGAGCGGAGGTCTCTCATGATGGTCCTGGGCGGGGAGAGGAGCGCCCTTTGCCTGGAATGTTGGAAAGCCTTCATGAGTGGCGGGGCCATGCTACCGCATTACAACCCATGAAAATATGACACATCTCCGCAACAAAACGCCAAAAAAAAAAAGAATGATCCTGCGCAAGAATGCCCTCGCTAGCTGAAGTCTCGTCATTCTCCACTAACTGCCACAGCTCGCCTTGCAGCAACCAAAACCTTTTGCGAGAGAGTGCCAACCTGACAGTGGGTTAAAGCGCTATGGGCCGAAGCTGCAGCCGAAGCCCCGGTGCACACCAAGCATGCACTGTGCAGAGGCGGTGCACCCAAAAACATGTGGCGAGCCCTCAAACGTCTCAGGACACCCAAGTTGTCGCTTTGCAGTTGGCTAAGCCTTGCACTCCGACACGGGCTCGTCCAGCGTACATCTCTCGGGATGAAGGGGCTCCTCCTGCCACAGCGGAGTCGCTTCAGTAGGTCAGTCCTCGTTTCCGAATGGTTTTCTGGTGAGTGTGCCCAAATGTCAGCCCTTTCACTACAACAAATGTAACAAATGTTGGCAAAATGCAGTTGTGCTCAATCCCGGCAACAGCTCAAGATCTGATCTGTCCCCATGTCCGACCTCGACGCCTCCAAAGATCCGACCAACATGTGCACGTGAAGACATGATAGAAATGGATACGTTGCAAATCTAGCAGGAACACTCACGGGCATGAGCACTGCAACTCGCCAAGGGATCCAAATTCACACCAAGCTGATTGCTGAGCTTGCAGCTGGTGCCTCTGCTTTTGAGGGGGAGAGGGTTACGGGCATTGCCAAGTATCTTTAGCTCTTGTTTTATCAGCTGGGTTGTCCAACATTCAGGCCTTGGCTTTTGCCTGCAAGCAACAGGTCGAGATGCACGTCCGCTTGTGCGTGCGCAGACCAGCTGGGTGTGAACTTGAGGAACTTGACCTCTGCGACACAGCTCAGCTGGCAAAAGCGTTTTGCAACTTGCAACTGTACAAAAAGCAAGCGCATCTAGAAGCACTTGCGATGAACAATCGTGGGGCCGCTCTCATCGTACTCGCCCTTGGAGATCCACATCTGCTGGAACGTGCTCAGAGAGGACAGAATGGAGCCACCAATCCAGACGCTGTACTTGCGCTCAGGCGGTGCCACGACCTTGATCTTCATAGTGGAAGGCGCTAGCGCAGTCAACTCCTTAGTCATGCGTTCACCCACGCCCAGAAACATGGTCGTGCCGCCTGACAGCACAATGTTGGCGTACAGGTCCTTTCTGATATCAACATCGCATTTCATGATGGATTGGAAGGTTGTGTCATGGATGCCGCTGGCCTCCTTACCCACAAAGCTGGGCTGGAAAAGCACCTCAGGGCAGCGGAATCGCTCGCTTCCAACGGTGATGATGTTGCCATCTGGCAGCTCATACGTCTTCTCCTTGTCGCTAGACTCAGAAGCCGCCTTCATCTCACTGTCGAAGTCCAGGGCGATGTAGCAAAGCTTCTCCTTCACATCTCGCACGATCTCGCGCTCCGCCGTGGTGGTGAACGCATAGCCACGCTCTGTCAGGATCTTCATCAGATACTCCGTCAGGTCGCGGCCAGCCAAGTCCAATCGCAGAATGGCGTGCGGCAGCGCATAGCCCTCATAGATGGGCACCGTGTGGCTGACACCATCGCCGCTGTCCATCACAATGCCTGTGGTGCGGCCAGAAGAGTACAAGGACAGCACAGCCTGGATGGCAACATACATCGCAGGGACGTTGAAGGTCTCAAACATGATTTGGGTCATGCGCTCTCGGTTGGCCTTTGGATTCAGCGGTGCCTCTGTCAGAAGGACAGGATGCTCTTCCGGAGCAACGCGCAGCTCGTTGTAGAACGTATGATGCCAGATCTTCTCCATATCATCCCAGTTTGTCACGATGCCGTGCTCAATTGGGTACTTCAGGGTGAGCACACCTCGCTTGGATTGTGCTTCATCTCCCACATAGGTGTCCTTCTGATCCATGCCCACCATGATGCCGGGCATCTTGGGCCGCCCAACAATGGATGGGAACACTGCGCTGGGCGCGTCATCGCCCGCGAAGCCAGCCTTGCACATGCCGCTGCCGTTGTCCACCACAAGAGCTGCAACTTCCTGGTCACCCATGTTGAGCTCACCTCGGAGAACGGAGTGCAGACAATGATGATGGCTTCCCCACTGAAGCCAAAATGGCTATGGACATGAGTTCAAGCCCCACAGCCAGTTCTCGTTGGATTGGCTTCTTGACCAACGGGATGGTGGCTGGTTCCAGTCCCACTTTACTGGCGGCTACCGTCCACAGTAGGTCACGGGCGACTAGGAAATCTGGGTGTGAAGTCGCTGCATTTGTTTGTTCGTCCAAAAAAACTTCCCAGCTCGGAATGCATGGAGAAGCACTGCATGTTCATTCATGTCAGAACGAACCAGTCAACCCTTTTCAGCAGCTTGGTTTGCAGCTAAAATGTGTGTCGGACTCACTGCGCGTAGAACTGCCATGACTGAATATCTGAACCCCCCGCCACCCCATCCCACGACCCCGGACAACATCAGAAACACTGAAAACAATGCAAAACTGCAGTCAAATACACTTCACGCCTTGAACTACTACGCTGTCCTGCAAAATGAGCAAAATACTCGAGAAGACAGCTGACACAAAGTTGCAGATGCAAATCAATGAACAGAAATTCTGGATGTCGTGATGCAGTGTCATCAATGCCTACTGGTTCACGCACAGTTTATCCAACATTCAGGCCTTGGCTTTTGCCTGCAAGCAACAGGTCGAGATGCACTTTCGCTTGTGCGTGCGCAGACCAGCTGGGTGTGAACTTGAGGAACTTGACCTCTGCGACACAGCTCAGCTGGCAAAAGCGTTTTGCAACTTGCAACTGTACAAAGAGCAAGCGCATCTAGAAGCACTTGCGATGAACAATCGTGGGGCCGCTCTCATCGTACTCGCCCTTGGAGATCCACATCTGCTGGAACGTGCTCAGAGAGGACAGAATGGAGCCACCAATCCAAACGCTGTACTTGCGCTCAGGCGGTGCCACGACCTTGATCTTCATAGTGGAAGGCGCTAGCGCAGTCAACTCCTTGGTCATGCGTTCACCCACGCCCAGAAACATGGTCGTGCCGCCTGAAAGCACGATGTTGGCGTACAGGTCCTTTCTGATATCAACATCGCATTTCATGATGGATTGGAAGGTGGTGTCATGGATGCCGCTGGCCTCCTTGCCCACAAAGCTGGGCTGGAAAAGCACCTCAGGGCAGCGGAATCGCTCGCTTCCCACGGTGATGATGTTGCCATCTGGCAGCTCATACGTCTTCTCCTTGTCGCTAGACTCAGAAGCCGCCTTCATCTCACTGTCGAAGTCCAGGGCGATGTAGCAAAGCTTCTCCTTCACATCTCGCACGATCTCGCGCTCCGCCGTGGTGGTGAACGCATAGCCACGCTCTGTCAGGATCTTCATCAGATACTCCGTCAGGTCGCGGCCAGCCAAGTCCAATCGCAGAATGGCGTGCGGCAGCGCATAGCCCTCATAGATGGGCACCGTGTGGCTGACACCATCGCCGCTGTCCATCACAATGCCTGTGGTACGGCCAGAAGAGTACAAGGACAGCACCGCCTGGATGGCAACATACATCGCAGGGACGTTGAAGGTCTCAAACATGATTTGGGTCATGCGCTCTCGGTTGGCCTTTGGATTCAGCGGTGCCTCTGTCAGAAGGACAGGATGCTCTTCCGGAGCAACGCGCAGCTCGTTGTAGAACGTATGATGCCAGATCTTCTCCATATCATCCCAGTTTGTCACGATGCCGTGCTCAATTGGGTACTTCAGGGTGAGCACACCTCGCTTGGATTGTGCTTCATCTCCCACATAGGTGTCCTTCTGATCCATGCCCACCATGATGCCGGGCATCTTGGGCCGCCCAACAATGGATGGGAACACTGCGCGGGGCGCGTCATCGCCCGCGAAGCCAGCCTTGCACATGCCGCTGCCGTTGTCCACCACAAGAGCTGCAACTTCCTGGTCACCCATGTTGAGCTCACCTCGGAGAACGGAGTGCAGACAATGATGATGGCTTCCCCACTGAAGCCAAAATGGCTATGGACATAAGACAAAAGTTGAAATCGGCAGAAATGCTGTGACTGGGTGGCTGGTTTCAGTCCCGGTGAAATGTGCCCACCCTACCCCACCCCACCCCACAACCCCTGACAACATCGCAACCATCAGACTCATTCAAAACCACAGTCAAATGCAATTCACAGCGCCTTGAACTATTACCCTGTGTTGTGCAAAATATTGAAGAAGGCGGCTGACACAGAGTTGCAGAGACAAATCAATGAACAGAAAATCTGGATGTCGTGATGCAGTGTCATCCATGCCAACTGGTTCACGCTCAGTTTATCCAACATTCAGGCCTTGGCTTTTGCCTGCAAGCAACAGGTCGAGATGCACTTTCGCTTGTGCGTGCGCAGACCAGCTGGGTGTGAACTTGAGGAACTTGACCTCTGCGACACAGCTCAGCTGGCAAAAGCGTTTTGCAACTTGCAACTGTACAAAGAGCAAGCGCATCTAGAAGCACTTGCGATGAACAATCGTGGGGCCGCTCTCATCGTACTCGCCCTTGGAGATCCACATCTGCTGGAACGTGCTCAGAGAGGACAGAATGGAGCCACCAATCCAAACGCTGTACTTGCGCTCAGGCGGTGCCACGACCTTGATCTTCATAGTGGAAGGCGCTAGCGCAGTCAACTCCTTGGTCATGCGTTCACCCACGCCCAGAAACATGGTCGTGCCGCCTGACAGCACAATGTTGGCGTACAGGTCCTTTCTGATATCAACATCGCATTTCATGATGGATTGGAAGGTCGTGTCATGGATGCCGCTGGCCTCCTTGCCCACAAAGCTGGGCTGGAAAAGCACCTCAGGGCAGCGGAATCGCTCGCTTCCAACGGTGATGATGTTGCCATCTGGCAGCTCATACGTCTTCTCCTTGTCGCTAGACTCAGAAGCCGCCTTCATCTCACTGTCGAAGTCCAGGGCGATGTAGCAAAGCTTCTCCTTCACATCTCGCACGATCTCGCGCTCCGCCGTGGTGGTGAACGCATAGCCACGCTCTGTCAGGATCTTCATCAGATACTCCGTCAGGTCGCGGCCAGCCAAGTCCAATCGCAGAATGGCGTGCGGCAGCGCATAGCCCTCATAGATGGGCACCGTGTGGCTGACACCATCGCCGCTGTCCATCACAATGCCTGTGGTGCGGCCAGAAGAGTACAAGGACAGCACAGCCTGGATGGCAACATACATCGCAGGGACGTTGAAGGTCTCAAACATGATTTGGGTCATGCGCTCTCGGTTGGCCTTTGGATTCAGCGGTGCCTCTGTCAGAAGGACAGGATGCTCTTCCGGAGCAACGCGCAGCTCGTTGTAGAACGTATGATGCCAGATCTTCTCCATATCATCCCAGTTTGTCACGATGCCGTGCTCAATTGGGTACTTCAGGGTGAGCACACCTCGCTTGGATTGTGCTTCATCTCCCACATAGGTGTCCTTCTGATCCATGCCCACCATGATGCCGGGCATCTTGGGCCGCCCAACAATGGATGGGAACACTGCGCGGGGCGCGTCATCGCCCGCGAAGCCAGCCTTGCACATGCCGCTGCCGTTGTCCACCACAAGAGCTGCAACTTCCTGGTCACCCATGTTGAGCTCACCTCGGAGAACGGAGTGCAGACAATGATGATGGCTTCCCCACTGAAGCCAAAATGGCTATGGACATAAGACAAAAGTTGAAATCGGCAGAAATGCTGTGACTGGGTGGCTGGTTTCAGTCCCGGTGAAATGTGCCCACCCTACCCCACCCCACCCCACAACCCCTGACAACATCGCAACGATCAGACTCATTCAAAACCACACTCAAATGCAATTCACAACGCCTTGAACTATTACCCTGTGTTGTGCAAAATATTGAAGAAGGCGGCTGACACAAAGTTGCAGAGACAAATCAAGGAACAGAAAATCTGGATGTCGTGATGCAGTGTCATCCATGCCTACTGGTTCACGCTCAGTTTATCCAACATTCCAGCCTTGGCTTTTGCCTGCAAGCAACAGGTCGAGATGCACGTCTGCTTGTGCGTGCGCAGACCAGCTGGGTGTGAACTTGAGGAACTTGACCTCTGCGACACAGCTCAGCTGGCAAAAGCGTTTTGCAACTTGCAACTGTACAAAAAGCAAGCGCATCTAGAAGCACTTGCGATGAACAATCGTGGGGCCGCTCTCATCGTACTCGCCCTTAGAGATCCACATCTGCTGGAACGTGCTCAGAGAGGACAGAATGGAGCCACCAATCCAAACGCTGTACTTGCGCTCAGGCGGTGCCACGACCTTGATCTTCATAGTGGAAGGCGCTAGCGCAGTCAACTCCTTGGTCATGCGTTCACCCACGCCCAGAAACATGGTCGTGCCGCCTGACAGCACAATGTTGGCGTACAGGTCCTTTCTGATATCAACATCGCATTTCATGATGGATTGGAAGGTGGTGTCGTGAATGCCGCTGGCCTCCTTGCCCACAAAGCTGGGCTGGAAAAGCACCTCAGGGCAGCGGAATCGCTCGCTTCCCACGGTGATGATGTTGCCATCTGGCAGCTCATACGTCTTCTCCTTGTCGCTAGACTCAGAAGCCGCCTTCATCTCACTGTCGAAGTCCAGGGCGATGTAGCAAAGCTTCTCCTTCACATCTCGCACGATCTCGCGCTCCGCCGTGGTGGTGAACGCATAGCCACGCTCTGTCAGGATCTTCATCAGATACTCCGTCAGGTCGCGGCCAGCCAAGTCCAATCGCAGAATAGCGTGCGGCAGCGCATAGCCCTCATAGATGGGCACCGTGTGGCTGACACCATCGCCGCTGTCCATCACAATGCCTGTAGTACGGCCAGAAGAGTACAAGGACAGCACCGCCTGGATGGCAACATACATCGCAGGGACGTTGAAGGTCTCAAACATGATTTGGGTCATGCGCTCTCGGTTGGCCTTTGGATTCAGCGGTGCCTCTGTCAGAAGGACAGGATGCTCTTCCGGAGCAACGCGCAGCTCGTTGTAGAACGTATGATGCCAGATCTTCTCCATATCATCCCAGTTTGTCACGATGCCATGCTCAATTGGGTACTTCAGGGTGAGCACACCTCGCTTGGATTGTGCTTCATCTCCCACATAGGTGTCCTTCTGATCCATGCCCACCATGATGCCGGGCATCTTGGGCCGCCCAACAATGGATGGGAACACTGCGCGGGGCGCGTCATCGCCCGCGAAGCCAGCCTTGCACATGCCGCTGCCGTTGTCCACCACAAGAGCTGCAACTTCCTGGTCACCCATGTTGAGCTCACCTCGGAGAACGGAGTGCAGACAATGATGATGGCTTCCCCACTGAAGCCAAAATGGCTATGGACATGAGTTCAAGCCCCACAGCCAGTTCTCGTTGGATTGGCTTCTTCATGACTCAAGTTCCAACGGGATGGTCATCCAAATCAGAGCAAACAGGGTGACCGGGCGGCCGCGACCGGCCGCGACGCCGCGACGGGCGGGTCAAAACCCCCGCCTGGCCGCCCTGAAAGGTGGGAGCGGCCGCTGGCCTTGGGAAAAGTCTCACTCCCAGCGAAATGGGCGCGGCTCAAGATTAAACAGGAGGGGCAAACCGCAGGTTTTGGTCCATGTTTCCACTTACCAGGGTCCATTTTGGTACCGGTTTTTTGAGCAACAGCCAAATGTCCGCTGCCCTAGCAACGAGCTGCAGCCAGGGAGCGATTCCCTCAGCTGCCGCTGAAGGGACACTTGGCCCCCAGGATCTTCATCTCCCCTGGCACGGAGCTCGAAAGGTTCAGTAGAAATCAAAAGCCTAGTCTTGGGATTGGCCTTGGGATTAGCCGAAACATGTTCGAAATGGCGAGAAGAAGCCACATCTTAGCCACCCTTTGCCAGTCCAAGGAGCCCGCCATGCAACCAACCCTCTTGGTTTGCTTTATCGAGGGATGGGCCGGCCAAAGAGAATGGCACTGACCAAACCTCTTAGGAGATGTTCATGGTCTTCTATGACAGCTCTACGAAATCCATTCGCTTGCAGCAGATTGTGCCGGGCACTTTAAGCACATGAGGTCAAGCTTCAATCTATGTTACGCAAAGTGTTGTGATCAGTCAAAGCATTCGACTCCTTGTTTGATTTTACAGCGAGCTTATGTACTAGACATCTAGGAGTCTAGGAGTATGTAGTATATAAGATACACTGTGGCTGATACTGGAAGTGTGTGATAGTTCAGCTGCAACCTGCTCAAAACCGGGCTTTCCGTCAAACCAACCAAGTTTTATCCAAAATATCAATACTATGGGCCGGCAAATCTACCACAGTATCAACAGTGGCGGCAGAAGCAAGATTCAAACGAGTGATTTGTGTGCTGATTTGAGCCAGCTTTTGGGGGCTGTTTTGAATGCAAAACCCTCCCTCCCAACACCCTCACTCCGTGCATGCTGAGTGGCGCCCCCATGGACTGCCGGTGATCCGCTTGAGCCCAATGCTTCCGGACAAGCGGTTTTCCACACATCCTGTGCTGGATTGAGCTTGCAGTGTGGTTTGGATGAGTTTGGACAAGTTTAGATTGTTTTCTTTGCTTGGACAATCTAAGAATTCTTCCTCAGCACTCCAACAGCCAATGCAAAGTCCGGAGCCACCATGCCCTGAGAAACCGTTGCTCAGCAAGGGCAACCAATCGGCCACAAATTTGGACCCAAACTCCTTTTGGCACGCCGCCAACTGCTGACATGCCAATTCAGTTTTTGCCTGGACATCGACAAGGCTGACCCTCACATCCGCATTGTGTTACTAGCAAAGCAAAATGCTCCAAAGGGGTGCCGGAGAGGCAAGCCAAGAATGACAATGGACCTATTATTGCCTATCCACATCAAGCGGAGCCAATCAAAAGCCTCGCAATCTGGAGAATGCACCAAGGTCAGCACTGCGTGATGTCGTAGACCTCATTTCGAGGCAGAGGTCTGTGGATGCTGGGGAGTCTGGGTCAAGCGACCATGGGCATGGAAAACCGTGGCTCCTTTGCGCCAAAAGCAAAGGCAATGCTGGTCAAGCATGTGGGGCTCTCTCGCGATTGAATGAAGGTACTTGTTTGTGTGTGTGCCTTCCGAATCCTTGCCCCAAGCCGAAAGCTTTTGGAGCTGGATCTTGAGCTCAAATCCTTGAACTCTGCTCTCTGGCGGTGCCCAAAGCATTCAGGATTCAGGCAAGCCTGGTCTCAGAGCTCGGTTCCAACTCTTCGATGCGCCAGCCAAGCAGCGCCTCATATAGATACCCCGAAGTCAGTTCTCGGCTTCCCGGCGAGCAGCATGCCCGCGGCGCCGCGGTAGTAGCTACGGATGATGGAGCGGAAGCGATCCTGACATTCCGTGCACTTGAAATGCGATGCGCGTCCGGAATGACGGGCAGGCTATGCCCTGAAGATTCTGTCCCTGGGGTGACACAGGTACTTCAAATCCTTTGCCAGGCAGTCAATCTCAGGGAACCCGATATGTCCTTGTCAGCATATTTTGGCTTTTCACTACCCCCATGCCCCTGACATCAGCCTGGCCGGCGGTGTCCCAGCACTGCAGCTTGATCTTGGACCTGCAGTCGGCTACCAGAAAATCGAAAAGAGAGCAGTCCCTTCAACCAAGCCACGAGACATGCCTCGGGGTCGCAACATGAAAGAACTCACATGAACTGACCCTTCCCACACCGGAAGCAGCCTTCCACCTCCAAACACCTGACCTTCAATTCTCAAAAAAAAAAAAAAAAACGACGACGATTCGACAATGTCCTATCAACAACACCAAGGCTTGGTCAACTCCCAAAAAGACATGACACAAAATGAGTTGTCAGCGACCATGGAGCTCACATCAATCTACCCCAAAAATGACCACTCCAACTCCAAGCCGCTGATCTCCAGCGAGATTCGCTTCACAGCCCTCTGATCTCGAGGCTCCGACCCTGCCACCTCCACGGTGCGGGAGCCGAATTCCACCCCCACGGTGACCTGCCGAAACCCCATCTGGGTCCCGGATGCGCTGGGCTCAAGCAGATTGGTGCGCAAGTGGACATGTTTGGTTCTGGGTCGTTTTGCCTGGTCCTGCCGAAAAAAACTGTCACGCTGTGGCCTCGCACCTGAGATTCGCGTTACAGTCTGTAGGCGTCAACGGCCAGGCATTTCAAATTGCTTTTGTTCGGTGCTGGCGACAACCAACAGGCTGATAGTTGGACGAACATCTGAAGTGGCTAGATGGGTAGGGGTCAAAATTACACTGCCAGGGGACCGCAGGCTTTAGTCCTTCTTTCCATTCACCAGGGTTCCATTTCGGGTACCTGTTTTTGACCCACACCCAGATGTGAAAACTTGGTCATAGCCTGTAGAACAACATGCACTCCCATGGCTCTCGCATTCTCGCGGACCTTGCAGCAGCTGCTTCACCGTTTCTTTTCTCACGAGACACGCCAGTGGCCGCCGCAGCCGTCGAGTGACCTGTCCAAAAGCGTCCCGCCATGTGCACACATGACCTCGGCCTAGCTTTGTCCGGTTGGTCAGCTGAACCCTCAGAGTATGCCCCGGCTTGCTTGCTAAGGGACCAAAAAACAATTCAGGAGAACACAAAAAGGCAGTAGTAGTTGTAGTAGCAGCAGCAGCAGCAGTAGTAGTAGTACTAGCAGCTTGTAGAGCGCTTGAACATGAACTGGCCTGTGACTAGAGCCCAAACCAGTTGAAAACTGGCACTGCCTGCCCGTTTTGGAGCTCTCCACAGGCTTTTCTTGGAACAATGCTCATGTGGCTGTTTGTCAAAACCCACAAAAACCCCTGGTGAACATCAAAATAGGTGGTACATGGGTGTTCATCTTTCCCAAAATGGAGGCATAGGTTATGACCCATGGCCACGTTGGTCGAGACCCACAGCATTAATCTGGCACGGTTCTTCTCGAGGAAGCCATACGGGTTCGCAACACAGTAGATCTGGATCGAATTTGATAGAGCTCTGCTGGATGTCGACAGCTGCCCTATGCCTATGGATGCACAAACCGCCACCTATCAAAACCCCAGCATTGCTCACACAGGTTGCTGGGCCAGACACATGTCCCATCTCTGGACGCACAGCTTCAAAAAGGGGGCATACAAAGAAGCATTCTGCTTCAAGGCAGCCCAAAAGTCTGAGATTCCCAGATGTCTTTGAACTGCCATTTAGCCGCCCGTCTGCCATGGGCGCCTCATAGGTTTTTCAGCGTGTTGCCGTAGGCCTTGACCAGCCCTGAGATGAGTTTGAACTCGGGCCTAAGGCGAACTCTGGCCGCACGCAGTTCGACTCAGCCGAAGGGGGAGACATCTCTGAAAACTTCTCGTCAGCAAGGCCTCCAAAGGCCTCCGTGGGTTTGGGGCCTGTTCTCTGGTCGTTTCGCGGGTTTCTCGCGAGCGGGTTTGCAAAGGGTGTCCAGCGGTTGCACTCGCATATTGTCTAAATCAATGGAATTCTGCACCAAAATGGTTGAACGCAAAAGTTGACTCGGCCAGGATGGTCATTCTTCTCGATAACGGACCGCCGCCCTTGTCACAGTTCCCAAGACCTCCCGATCAAAGAGGTTCTGCGGTTGCACCTACTTGACACCTGAACAACTACGTTGTGGGATATGTTGTGTGTGCAATCTGGTATCCTTGTGTGTGTGCGTGTGTGTTGTGCATGATCAACTGCAATTTGTTCTGTACACGTCTTGCTCTGTGCACGTTCTGCCAATGTCGTGCTGTGTCTTTTTGCGAGCAGGGCCGGTGCAACTCACTCTGTGTAGAGTGTCCTATTTGGCTTGCATTATGTTCTATGAGCTGCGCAAGTTGCTCTTTGCATGTTGCTGTGCATACGCTCTATGCAAGCCTTTTGCATGCTGTTCAGTGTACCTCATGCCTTGTGTGCCCACTTGTGCTGTGTTCTGTGTGACTGATTTATGAAAGTCGGTTTTGGACTGTAGAGGTTGTTCTGCATATATCTCCTGGTCTGTTCAATGATCTGCGCAAGTTGCTCCGCGTGTGGTCTGCGTCTTACTGCGCATGACTTTCCACACATTGCTCTGTGTGTCTGGCGTTCTACCTGTGAGGCGCCGTGCGATGACTTGTTTTCCTAAGTGTAGAGCCCTCCGCTCTGCGTGGAGCGTGTGTGCCGGATGCATGAGCGTGTGGCCCTGGGTCAGGCATGTTTATGCGCGAGCCTCTGCGGATCTTGCTCTATGCTCGTTTCTGTGCGCCCAAGTTGCGCAGGTTGACTAAGTTGTGCTGCGGGCTGTTCACTGTTCTGTGTATTGGACGTCCTAGTTGCTTGCATTCCCGCAGTTCAATACACCAGTAGCTGGGGTTCTGTTTGTACGAAAGAAAGCTGGTTTGCGTTTGTTCTTGTATCCTGTGAACTGTGCTACAATGCGTGATTGATTCGAGCTATTGTGCGTGTGCAACGTTCAACCTGATCTGCGAAACTGCATGCCCGTACCACTTTCGTAGTGGACGGCTGGGATTGTTCAAACGCATTTTGGCGATCAACACCTGCACACGTCTGCGTGTGTGTGTATATATCATGTATATATAAATATGTATATATATATATATATATGTACAATATATGCCTTTAATAATAATAAATAAATAAATAAATAAATAAATAAATAAATAGGTAAATAAATAAACAAACAAATACATAAATACATAAATAAATGAACAAACAAATACATACAAAAATATTAAAAAAAAAAAAAAAAAAAAAAAAAAAAAAAAAAAAAACTGTTCGATCCCCGTCAAAAGGTTGCGCGGGCCAAAATAAAACAACATGCGGCATGCGTACAACATGCAGAGAGTTGGCCTGTTCAGGCAACAGGTTGCCTCTGCGCGCAAGGTCGCCTGTGTGACCGGAGAAAAGCTGTGCAGGGAGTCCATTGCGAAGATAGTCACGTGGGAACAGACAAATGAAGGCTTTTGGACTTCCTCCAGCCCTTTGCACACAACTACCCACCTGAGACACCCTGGCCGCTACTCAAATACAAACGCGTGATTGTGTGGCGCAAGAATACGCAAGGCAGGGGTACAAGAGTGAGCGATCCTAATATGCAGGCCCATCACCAAGTATGTGTCTTGGTCATGCTTATCTGGCTGATGCAAGTTGCGTGAGCGCATCTCTCCTGATCTCAACCATGGGTGCCTTGCAAGTGCGTTTCGAGTCCTGCAAAGAACCCTTCGCCTTTTTTCGCCTCTCACGAAAACTTGGTGCTGCGACCATCGCTTTCGACAAACGGAGGCGTTAAACACACAGCCCAAGCATGAAGGAACAAATTTATGGCAGTGGGGAGGGAAAAGCAACGAGCACAATTCCGGCCCCCCCCCCCTCCCCCAGGCCGCCACGCGCGTCCTTAGTGCGCAGAAGCTCGAAGAGCACGGACTCGGCAGTGGTTACAAAGCACCCGGCCTGGCGGAAAAGCCGGGGAGAACCTCAAGAAATGAGCCAAGGAGAAAAGAGTTTTCTCTCTCTCTCTCTCTCTCTCTGTTTCTCTGTTTCTCTGCACTCTTGTTCTTTTTCTCTCTCTCTCTCTCTCTCTCCCTCTCCCCCTCTCTCTCTCCCTCTCCCCCTCCCTCTCTCCCTCGCTCCCTCTCTCTCTGTCCCTGTCTCTTTTTCATCCGGACCAAACGGAAAGAACACAACTTGCAAACCGTTGCACCCGTCGCAGTCGTCGCAGCAACGACGCAGGAGCTGCGGCCCCCTCACTCACAGGGTTCCCCCAAGTTTCCCTCCTGAGCATCAGCCATCTCACCACTCACTTCGACATGCCCATGGGTCAAAACCCCCCCTAGTGAACATCCGATTCAATCCAACCACTAAAATAGGTTCTAAAGTGGGTGGTGAATTCACCTACCCCAAAATGGGATCCCATTGGTTTTGACAACCACGGCCACATCAGGTCACACTCCCACCAAAAATCCGCGGCGCCGCCTGTCGCAGCCGGTCCAACGCCACCTCACGGTCCATGGGCCGCTGGGAGGAGCATCCATCCGCCAGCACGTGCACCTGCGCAGGGCTCCCCACCCTTTGCCCGGTTTCTTTCGGGATGGCGTTGGCACGGCGATTGGGGATCACCTCATGCACAGCAGCGCTTGGAGCCAAGCAATCACCCAAATCAGCATGGCAGGCGGCCCATTGGAGCAACAGGAACGGATTCTTACAGCCAGCCGGCCACGTGACACAGAACCGAGACAAAAGCCCCGTCAGTCGTGCGTCAGCACTCCCTGGTGCATCGCCCTTCATATGCCGCAGCGGCCGGCTTTCTCCTGTAGGCAAGGCACTTGGCTTCCGGGCTTACGTTCTGTCTTCTGTCAAGGCCACTCCTTTTGCAGGAATTCTGCTCCCCCGAATTTGTGGATCCGACTTGGCACGGCTGCGCTACAGCCGCTGAGCCTGGACAAGTGGCTCTGTTCACTGCCCTCACAGTCGCCCACTTCTCGCAAGCCCGGCACACAGCGCCAGACTCCGCACGGCACGCCCACCACGTCACTCCTACGTTGTCGCTCCCTCCGAGCAATCGGCCCATTGTCACTTCGGAGCCATTTCGCCGCAACCACCAAACTTCCGGCAGCAGCCCTGGAAGCAACCATCCGTCCGTCTTTGCAACCATCGTCTGTCCGCGGCAAGCCGCAAAATGACAGCGGCGCGCAGGCAGGAGAGTCACCACGGCCACACCAAGCCACGGCCAGCCCTGCGACATCCCCCCGGCATGAATTTCAAACAACACGAGAATATCAGAGATGCGGACAGGCGATGCCGTAGACTCCAAGCACCGGATATCTGGATCGCCTTACAGACGGTCCAGCGCCCTCTTCTGAAGGATTCGTGGTGGCTGGAGGCCGTTGAGTTCCCTGTCCACGCTGGAAAAGAAGAAGGCAGAGGAGAAGGCGCCGTTCTAAACGCGAAGTGACATGGAGCAAATGGCCAGCGCGGCCAACCTGAAGCTCGGCAAAAACATCCGCGCTGTTCTTGCCTTGCGCTCCTTTTATCACCTTCCGAAGGGCCCGGATGGTCATCCGTGGTAGTCAAGTTCTCGGGTCCACGTCAGCCCGAGCTCTCCGCCCGGAGCTGGGCGCGAGCCTTGCATCGAGAGGCGTTCTCCACGGCGGCTTAGCGCGGCTCTCGCCGCGTGATGTTCTCCAGACCTTTCTCGCGCGAGCTCTTCAAAGCTCATGCCATCCACAATGGCCCTCACCCTGCCGCGGCTCCTCATGAGGCGAACCCCTTTCTTCTTATCGGTTCTCGATCTCGGTCTCACCACGCCAAAGGATCAGCCGATGATTCAAGTCTTGAAGCAAGCATCTCAAACGCCAAGAGGCCAGCCAAGTCAGCCGAATTCCACTGGAAGCATCACCAAGCGGGGTGAGCAGGCCCTTGAATTGAAGATGGAGACCGTTCCAATCGATGGCATTTGGTCTGTTTCACTTTTCTGCACCGCAAGAGACTTCTTCAGCCCCTTGCCAACTCGTGGACAAACTAACGAACATCCTCTCATCACTGTTTTCGCAAGGAGAGCTGTAGTCTACAATCTACGAGTCTTGCTTCGAGAGCCAAAGCCAACTTATAGAACCACTTTCTTTGGGCCTTTCTCCAAACACCATTTGGGCGAGGGTTCAACTCGGACCCCCAGACGAATCGCCTGAATGCCCTTGCTCAGCAAGTCCAAGGCAGTCTGCTGCACGCAGACGTGTGTCTCCACTCCGAAGATGACCGCAGCCTAGAGGCGGGGGAAGAAAAAAAAAAGGCCGCGCCACGAATCGAGGCGGCTCGCAACCTGTCGAACCCTGGTTCTTTCAACAACTGGCCGTTGGTTTGTCGCTGGCGGTCTGAAAAGCACGCATCTCGGTTCAGAAGGTTCTCCATACCTTGCGAATCCCCCTCTCGATCTCACGAGAAACGGACATGGTCTAGCAAGAATGCACCCCGATGGCGCTTCTTCGCAAGGGGAGCAGAGCTGATCAAACTGAATGAGATCAGCAAACTATCGCAAGCTTGAAGCTTAACAATCTGATATCCGGGGTGTTTGCAAAGCAAACCGCCATTGTGGGGTCCTCCCTTGTTGAAAATACCCATGTTAACAGGTACAGCCACAGGTGGAAAGCCGTTCTGCCGGGCAACTGCAAAGCTAAACGAGTTCCACAAGTAGAGCCAGCCTTTGGCAAACCGGCAGAAATAGTGTCTCATTGTGGACCAAAGGCAATGGCCCAACGAAAAGCAAAGCGTTGGAGCATTGGAGCTAGCAACGAATCAAAGTAATGTAAGCAGTGCTTAATTGCGGGGCGCATTCTGACAATAGGGGAGGTGTCCCATCATTCAATTATGTTGAGATTTACACAAATTCAGGTCGAGTCTGTGTCAACGCAGCCCTGACCGGAAGCCCATCCGCTTTCCGCTCTCGCCAAAGGCTGGAAGGTTGGACCGCCTTACGGTCCAGCACGGCCAAGTGTTGGACGAACTCTTCGGTGCACATGGAGAACTTGGTCTTCCTGGGATGGCAGGATCAACCGAAGGGCGCGTGCGTCTCAAGAGACCGATGCTGGCAGAAGGTCTGAGCTCAAACGGGGTCGATCCATGACGATTCCGCACAGACCGACACCGCAGCAACTTACTGGAGGGCGTTGCTCTCGTTGCGGGGTTTTCCTGGACTGGTGTTTCAGCTTGTGCCAGAGGCAGGCAACCCTTTGGCTTGTTGCTTGAGCTTAGCTCATCTCACTCCCCAAGCCACTGGCTCCGTGCATCTTTGCCAGACTCAAGAATCCACAAAAGACCACTGAAAAAGCCGCAAAAGACCCCCACAACATGCCGAGCAGCTCGAAGACTTTGGCCTGCAAGGAAAAAACAACTCCGGGCAAGCTGAAGTTTGGTCCCCAAATCGACATGGAATTCAAAAAGGGTCCCAAAAGGAGATTCCTCTGAAAATCGATGAATGGCTTGCCGGGTTCCATGAACATCTGCAGGGGGAGTAGATTCAATAGCAGCACGGCTGGCTCAGCGAGAATCTCAGCTTACCATACCTCCCTGTCACCTACGAGGTGTTGAGGTTTACCTGGGCCGGGATCGTCGAAGGGATGTCTGTCCTCTCTTAGGCCGGGATGGTCGAAGGGATGTCACTAGAAGCTCCATACATCTGCAACCCATCTAAGCCCTGCTCTCCTCACCTCAATCTCTCCTTCTGCAAAATCGCACCCACAAAACTGCGGCTCCCACCTGCCACCAAAGTCAAGACATCCCGAACCCAACGCTCCCACCTGTGAGACGTCCACCTCCGGCACTGTGTGACCCAAGGCTTTGGGGTACTGCTCCTGCAAGCAGAATGGAATGCCCACCTAGAAGTACAGGCCCTGCCACAAATCCCGCGCTACAGCAGTACACGAATGGTTCGAGGTTTTTCGGATCTTTTCAACTCAGCATCCAACTCGATTGGTTTTTCCAGTCCAATCGAAAAACATCGCGGCTTTCCAGTCAGTGTCCGACACAATGACCGGGATGGCCAGCACGTTGGAGGCATCCACCATGGTCTTCGCTGCGGCGATCACCTGGCCCCTTGGCGAGCGAGCGACGTCTTTTGGGCCGGGCCTTTGTCGCGACCCCCGCCTTTTGTCTCCCCCAATTTCGGGCCCAAGTTGGAGACAAACTCATCAGCGCCAACAGGAAAGAGCAGACTTGGGTGGGAAGCTTCCTGAAAGGAAAAGCACTTCAATCCCCACAGCAATTTTGGGCCGGAATAAAAAGCTCAAACCTGCCAGCATGCTCCTCAGTTTTGGAGGGGCTCAAATCACAGTTGATACGCAAGTCTGGCAAACTGAAAGCTGAAGATGGAATGAGCTACACCTTTCCGCTCACCAGACCAAAAGACTTGGACACAAATCACTGAAATTCTAGGCTCACGCTGGCTTGGCAGAAAAAGTGTGTCCGTGCCACTCTTTCGAGGATCCCAATGCTACCGGATTGAAAAACCCGTCCCGCTGCCCGCTGGCGCCTTTGTATTCGGCTGTGTGGCTCAGTGCCTAGCGTTTGCCCGCCCTTTGGCCCGGGGAGCATGCGGTCGATGACATCGCGGAAAATCTCTTGGACGTCGCATAACAGGAAAACCGTGCTCCTCAGCCGCGACGCCGCAAGCTCGTCATGACAGCAATCATCAAAAATGCAAGATGACGTTGGGATGCTAAAGAGTTGAGCGCCCAGAATCATGCCCCTCATTCTCAACTGACTTTACAGGCATAACAGAAAAGCCCCCTACCAACGAGGCCTCAAGTGGCCTTGGCCTGTGAGCCGAGTCTACCAACAGCTCCCGCTATGTCACATCGGGGCTGGGAAAACCCGTTCGAACTGGTCTGTGACTTGCGACCGGAAAATCCGACCGAAAAACGACCGGAATCGGCCCACACTCCGAGCTGCGCCGCCGCCAGCCGGCCTTCGGGCCGCGGCGGCCCGCTGTAGGCCATGGCTCTGCTCGGCGCGTAGAAACAACGGTGCAAAGAGTGCTGCGGTTTTGGGGGTTTGCATGAGGTGTCCACTTTGGTCTTTTTCTGTTCAGTCTTTTGTTCCTCACTTCAGAAAAACAGAGCGTGGCATGACAGTCGGCAGATTATTCACGCCTCGGACACTTCGGGGTTGACCCTCGTCAACCCACGCTTTATTCACAGGCTAAGTGGTTTCCCTCTACCCCGGGCTTATTCGTGACACACTCTACCTTCACATGTCACCTCTCTCTTTTCTGGCGATGGCAGGGGCACAAGCTGTGCTAGGCCTCCCAGCGCGATGTGACATTGTATGGGAAGTGCTGCCACTGGCTTCGCCAGAGCAGAAGTTCGAACAACAGTAAAGCATGGAACCCACTTGCAGATTCCAAAGAGATACGGCGCCACGAGAAAAGAGATGCGCGCAACACTCGTAAACTCCAACACACTCAACATACGACTACCATACGGCCGGCATGGGCCAATGTGCACCAACTTGTTCCAACTTCAACCGGAGGGCCAAGCTGGGCCAAGCTGTGCCAAAGCAAGACAAAGCCCACTCAAACTGGCTCGCGCCAGTGGAAAATCGAGCTCACGTGGCTCGAGTGAAGAATAAGCTTTGTGGGAAAGCTCCGTGGAGCCAAAATGTGGGCAAATCCAAGCGCTAAGGAGCAAAGCTGCTGCAGTGCTGACTCGGCATTTGGATTCTACATCCACCCGGCCGCCGCAGCCGACTTCTTTGAGGCGAGCTCCTGACAAGCGACCGACCCCACGGACCCCAGCGACCCAGCGACCCCCCGATAAACCCGGCCTCATCCAAACGCGCCATGGCCAGGCCCGCTGCGTCGTTGCTGGGCGGCACATGGGCACCACCCAGCTTCACTTCGAGATCCCGCAACTGCTGCCAGAAGCCCGGGTTGGGGCGGATGTACTCCCGGGCTTGGAAGACTCGCCGGAAGGCGGACTCCAAGGACATCCGCTCCTTCATCATCAGGTACGCGATGCCTCGGGCGACAACCCCGGCCGCGGCAAACTACTGTAACCGCCCTACCGTGCACTGTCCCATCCAGCCCAACCCAGGACACCCTTCCCGGCAAGTAGCAAGTGCTACTGGAACGGCTCACGCCCTGTGCGCAGTGAATGGCCACGCACTCGCCGTTCTGCAGGGAAGCATCGATGAACTTGGAGCCCTCTTCCCACAGGTTGGTCATCTGCTGCTCCTGCGCGCAGACACGCAGGTTACAGTGAGGTCACGCAGGTTACATTCCGGTACCCCCTCCTCCACATCGTCGGCCTCCAACACTTGCACCTTGTAGCCCTGCAACTTCTCTCGCAGAGGCTCGCCCCCCGTGTAGGATCGGTTGTAGAGGTCGTTGGTGGCGCAGTTCAAGATGGATCGGATGCCCAACCTGAAGCATGCGTTGCACCAACCCAAGCCCTGCCGCCCGCACGACTCTGGACCCATCCAAACCCTTTCCCCTGACCTTGATGACTGATTGGCTCGGACACGGATGCTTCGGATTTGCCCCCCACCCGTCCTCTCCAACTCCGCCCTGTTCTCCAAAGCAGCGGCACCGCAGAGGTAAAGACCGCCGCCGAGGTCATCGATCCTCTTGAAGGACGCCTGTGGCGCATTCGCCTGAGTCAGGGCTCACACGCTAGCAGATTGCACCCCCAAGCCCAAACCCCGCCGACAGCCCAAGCTTTTGGAAGCGCGTGTTGCCTCGCCTGGGCCACTGGCATGCTCCTCTGCGCAGCCGCAGCTGCCGCCTCTCGCAGGAAGGCCATGGACATATCGCGAGAAAAGAGCTCTGAACTACGCCTAACTAAACGAAGGCCTGAGACCAGTCTCAGACAGCTCCGAGCCGAAAGAGCCCAGGGCGCGAGCCACAGATTGCCACGCAACCAGAGTGTGACCCAAATCCTCTGCTAAATCCGCACCGCTCAGAAACACGCAAGCCGACACGCCTGATTAAAGCCCAGGCCACCTCTTTTTTGGCCCTGGAAGCGCACGAAGCTGCGCTCGGGAGCAATGCAATGCTAGCCCCAAAGAGCGGCCTGGGCAAGTGCTGCCACTGGCTGAACCAGAGCAGAAGCACGCATGGAATCCACACTTGCAGAGATTCCACGGCGATGCGTACGCGCAACACTCAACACACACAAGAAGCACATCAAAATGGCCCTGTGGGCCAATGTGCACCAACTTGTTCCAAGCTCGACCGACAAAAGCCAAGCTGGATCAAAATGGGCCAAAGCAAAAACAAAGCCCACTCAAACTGGCTGGTGCCAGTGGAAAATCGAGCTCGCGTGGCTCGAGTGAAGAATAGGCTTTGTGGAAAAGCTCCACGGAGTCAAAATCTGTGCTGCGGGGCAAAGCTGCTCCGGTGCTCACTCGGCATCTAGAGCCACCCGGCCGCCGCAGCCGACTTTTTTGAGGCGAGCTCCTGACAAGCGACCGACCCCACGGACCCCAGCGACCCAGCGACCCCCGATAAACCCGGCCTCATCCAAACGCGCCATGGCCAGGCCCGCTGCGTCGTTGCTGGGCGGCACATGGGCACCACCCAGCTTCACCTCGAGATCCCGCAACTGCTGCCAGAAGCCCGGGTTGGGGCGGATGTACTCCCGGGCTTGGAAGACTCGCCGGAAGGCGGACTCCAAGGACATCCGCTCCTTCATCATCAGGTACGCGATGCCTCGGGCGACAACCCCGGCCGCGGCAAACTACTGTAACCGCCCTACCGTGCACTGTGCCATCCAGCCCAACCCAGGACACCCTTCCCGGCAAGTAGCAAGTGCTACTGGAACGGCTCACGCCCTGTGCGCAGTGAATGGCCACGCACTCGCCGTTCTGCAGGGAAGCATCGATGAACTTGGAGCCCTCTTCCCACAGGTTGGTCATCTGCTGCTCCTGCGTGCAGACAAGCAACGCAGTTTGAAGTCAGGCACAGCATTGCCCTCATGCTCTTCACCCTGACAACAGCACTTCCATTTGACCTCCGGTACATTCCGGCACCCCTCCTCCACGTCGTCGGCCTCCAACACTTGCACCTTGTAGCCCTGCAACTTCTCGCGCAGAGGCTCGCCCCCCGTGTAGGATCGGTTGTAGAGGTCGTTGGTGGCACAGTTCAAGATGGATCGGATGCCCAACCTGAAGCATGCGTTGCACCAACCCAAGCCCTGCCGCCCGCACGACTCTGGACCCATCCAAACCCTTTCCCCTGACCTTGATGACTGATTGGCTCGGCGCGGATGCTTCGGATTTGCCCCCACCCGTCCTCTCCAACTCCGCCCTGTTCTCCAGGGCAGCGGCACCGCAGAGGTAAAGACCGCCGCCAAGGTCATCGATCCTCTTGAAGGACGCCTGCGGCGCATTCGCCTGAGTCAGGGCTCACACGCTAGCAGATTGCACCCCCAAGCCCAAACCCCGCCGACAGCCCAAGCTTTTGGAAGCTCGCGTTGCCTCGCCTGGGCCACTGGCATGCTCCTCTGCGCAGCCGCGGCTGCCGCCTCTCGCAGGAAGGCCATGGACATATCGCGAGAAAAGAGCTCTGAACTACGCCTAACTAAACGAAGGCCTGAGACCAGTCTCAGACAGCTCCGAGCCGAAAGAGCCCAGGGTGCGAGCCACAGATTGCCACGCAACCAGAGTGTGACCCAAATCCTCTGCTAAATCCGCACCGCTCAGAAACACGCAAGCCGACACGCCTGATTAAAGCCCAGGCCACCTCTTTTTTGGCCCTGGAAGCGCACGAAGCTGCGCTCGGGAGCAATGTAATGCTAGCCCCAAAGAGCGGCCTGGGCAAGTGCTGCCACTGGCTGAACCAGAGCAGAAGCACGCATGGAATCCACACTTGCAGAGATTCCACGGCGATGCGTACGCGCAACACTCAACACACACAAGAAGCACATCAAAATGGCCCTGTGGGCCAATGTGCACCAACTTGTTCCAAGCTCGACCGACAAAAGCCAAGCTGGATCAAAATGGGCCAAAGCAAAAACAAAGCCCACTCAAACTGGCTGGTGCCAGTGGAAAATCGAGCTCGCGTGGCTCGAGTGAAGAATTGGCTTTGTGGAAAAGCTCCACGGAGTCAAAATCTGTGCTGCGGGGCAAAGCTGCTCCGGTGCTCACTCGGCATCTAGAGCCACCCGGCCGCCGCAGCCGACTTTTTTGAGGCGAGCTCCTGGCAAGCGACCGACCCCACGGACCCCAGCGACCCAGCGACCCCCCGATAAACCCGGCCTCATCCAAACGCGCCATGGCCAGGCCCGCTGCGTCGTTGCTGGGCGGCACATGGGCACCACCCAGCTTCACCTCGAGATCCCGCAACTGCTGCCAGAAGCCCGGGTTGGGGCGGATGTACTCCCGGGCTTGGAAGACTCGCCGGAAGGCGGACTCCAAGGACATCCGCTCCTTCATCATCAGGTACGCGATGCCTCGGGCGACAACCCCGACCGCGGCAAACTACTGTAACCGCCCTACCGTGCACTGTCCCATCCAGCCCAACCCAGGACACCCTTCCCGGCAAGTAGCAAGTGCTACTGGAACGGCTCACGCCCTGTGCGCAGTGAATGGCCACGCACTCGCCGTTCTGCAGGGAAGCATCGATGAACTTGGAGCCCTCTTCCCACAGGTTGGTCATCTGCTGCTCCTGCGCGCAGACAGGTCACGCAGGTTACAGTGACAACAGCACTTCCATTTGACCTCCGGTACATTCCGGCACCCCTCCTCCACGTCGTCGGCCTCGAACACTTGCACCTTGTAGCCCTGCAACTTCTCTCGCAGAGGCTCGCCCCCCGTGTAGGATCGGTTGTAGAGGTCGTTGGTGGCACAGTTCAAGATGGATCGGATGCCCAACCTGAAGCATGCGTTGCACCAACCCAAGCCCTGCCGCCCGCACGACTCTGGACCCATCCAAACCCTTTCCCCTGACCTTGATGACTGATTGGCTCGGCGCGGATGCTTCGGATTTGCCCCCCACCCGTCCTCTCCAACTCCGCCCTGTTCTCCAGGGCAGCGGCACCGCAGAGGTAAAGACCGCCGCCGAGGTCATCGATCCTCTTGAAGGACGCCTGTGGCGCATTCGCCTGAGTCAGAGCTCACACGCTAGCAGATTGCACCCCCAAGCCCAAACCCCGCCGACAGCCCAAGCTTTTGGAAGCTCGAGTTGCCTCGCCTGGGCCACTGGCATGCTCCTCTGCGCAGCCGCGGCTGCCGCCTCTCGCAGGAAGGCCATGGACATCGCGAGAACAGAGCTCTGAACTACGCCTAACTAAACAAAGGCCTGAGACTAGTCTCAGACAGCTCCGAGCCGAAAGAGCCCAGGGCGCGAGCCACAGATTGCCACGCAACCAGAGTGTGACCCAAATCCTCTGCTAAATCCGCACTGCTCAGAAACACGAAGCCGACACGCCTGATTAAAGCCCAGGCCACCGGACTAAAGCCCCGACACGCGAGCCGAAAGAGCCCACAAAGCAAGATTCCACGGCTACAGGCACCACAAATGACACGCACCTCGTCAAACAGCTGTGTAACGCGCCGTACACCGTGGCATCGCTCATGTCCAAAACACACTTACACAGTGCGGTCGAAGTGCTTGTCCCCGCCTGGTGCGTGGTTCGGTACCTTGCGCTCGTGAGGGCAACACACCGGATTTCCTGCTTTGAATACACATCCGCCTCCCAAGGCCAGAAATAGGAATCGTGCATCATCACCGCATGGGCACTTCCTCTTGTAACATGCTGCAAAACAAGTTGTGTCTCACGCGCACAAGAGAAAGCAAAAGAGCCACTAAATCTTATCCCCGACACTACTCCAAACAAGAGTCAGCCTTTCGAAGTCCTTTGAGGGAAGGCACCCCAGAATCCCAAATTCAATACGGAAGTGGATTAGGAACCAGTTCAGCGGATGGAGTGCGTTTTTTGTTTTTTGGTTTTTTCACTTGCAAATCTTCTCAATGGTGGATTTCATATTTGGACATACGAATAATATCCATAAGCTTGATTTAGGAGCGGCAGACCAAACGATGCGAGTTCCTGCCTCTTGTCGGTGAACTGCAGGAGCAAGCACGTCTTGCCAACTGCCTCAGCCAATGTTCGCAAACTTGCAAGCGGATCTGGAATGATAAACTTACGCGTAAAGGCCAGGATTATCCATTCTGTTGAACCATGTGCAACAGTGCAACAGCGCAACAACAGCAGCAGCAGCAGCAGCAGCAGCAGCAGCAGCAGCAGCAGCAGCAGCAGCAGCAGCAGCAGCAGCAGCAGCAGCAGCAGCAGCAACAACAACAACAACAACAACAACAACAACAACAACAACAACAGAAGAAAAACAAACACGGACCAGGGTGGACTCGAACCACTATTTTCATATGTGTTCTGCAGACGCAATCGCATCCGAGACAATGACGCCTTATCCATTAGGCGACTGGTCCTCATATAGTTTCTGTTTTGTTATTTTTGTTGGTGTGTGACTAGCAACATCACACACAGAACAACGCAATCACACACAATCACAAAATCACAAAATCAAAAAAATGAGATCCACGCTGCGTGTACTGTCTTTCAATGAGAGCGGCTATGTGGGCTGCAATAGAACTGTTGTCTGAAAGAAATCACTTTGTGGTGGAGAGTGGCTTGACAAGTGTAGCATGATGTTCCTGCCTACCTGGCAAGCTAAAGAAGCTTGTGAGATGTGGAGGTGGGAGATAATGTACACACGTGCTGGTGAATGGTGTGGAGATGTGGTTCAGCTCACGGACCAACTATTGGCACTCCACAGCTTGCCAAACCCCGGATACAGCTCTCGGAGAAAGCCCAACAACAAAGGCAGTGAATGCTGTGCTTGGGAGCTGACAGTTGCACGGCTGCAATGCGTCTCTGCAACATGCAAGAACAGTCCAACCTCTATGGCCAAGGAATAAACACCATGGCCTGGTGAAGCAACGATGTCAGCGACTTCCATGTCAGCAAACCAAACAACAGCAAAAAAGAGACAAAGCCTTCACATCCACTTGCCAAGGCAAAGAGGCGCGCCTCATCACCGATGATGATGAACTTGAAGAGGTGCTGGTAGTCGGCCAGGGATTCCTACAGAGAAACCGCGAAACCGCTCAGCCCGGCGCCTGGGCTAAGCCACCTAAAGGTCTCCGATTGGCGCCGGCAACTCGAGCCCCAAGCTTCCCAAAAGAAAAGCAGCCGAAGAGCCAAGGCCAAACCCGCTGGTCGCTAGGGCAATCAGCCCAGCTCCCCAACTGAGCTCTCACAACCCTTCTCTCCCTGGGTCACTAAAGCCGTGATCCTTTGACTGTTGCTGATGTTGTGTGGACATCAGGCCAGCGATTCCCTGTGACGTCCATGTCGTAGGTGTTGTATGTGCGTCACATATCGAATATGTCTCGATCGAGATGTCTCGAGTGTGCATCGCATGTGTCGCGAATGAAATGTGTGTGTATCAAGTCTGCATCACATGTATCGCGCACATGCATCGGCGTGTGAACTGCGTGCGTATCGCATGTTCATCGCATGACAACTGGACAAAGCACTCAAATCGCTATTTCCAGGTCCAACAAACCTGAAATAATGTTGCTGCACACCTCGGTCAGGCGCAACACCCAAGCCAGAAAAAGCCATGAACAGGTTCTCAAGAATTGCTTGTCTGACCTTGCGGCGAGTGCACTTACACGCCACCTGCACGAGGTCACCAGTCCATTTGGGTGTGTATCTCGTGTATGTCATGTACATTTTGTTGCACGTGAGCCCTGTCCGAGTGCGTGAAACATGGATGCATATGTGTTTTTGTTGGTGGGGTGGCTTACTAAGATCCATGGCAATGTGTATATATATATATATGTATGTGTGTGTGTATGTGTGCGTGCTTGTGTTTTTGTGGTTTGCGTCTTTGTGTTTTTGTGTCGTTGCGTCTTTGTGTCTTTGTGTGTTTGTGTGGGTTTGTGTGTTTGTGTGTTTGTGTGTTTGCGTTTGTGTTTTTGCGGTTGTGTGTGCGTGTGTCTTTGGATGCCTTGATTTTTCATCACGAGCATGGTTGCCTGTGCAGATAACGGGCATGCATGCAAGTATACTCTGTGTCCGCGTGTTGCGCGTGTGTGGCACATGTAGTGCGCGTGGGTGTGTATTGCACGCCAATAGTGTATTTTCTGCGGGTACATCGCATGTGCATCATTTGTGTAGTGCGGCACTATGTGTGTGTAGATCACTTGAAAACTGACCCCTGTGTTCTTGCTGACAGGAAGGTGCAACCTGTGGTCGGTCAGCTTTACAGGCCTCCCCCTCCCATCCGCGCCCACTCCTGGGTTCCTGCTCTGGGCGCGCTTCTGAACCTTGGCGAAAATGACAGGAAGAACGAGCGTCATTGGCATGGCAGGGAGTCTCAGATGGTTTGCCGTAAGGGCAAGGCTTGCCCATTTTCCTCAGTTTCTCATCAAGGACACCCAACTGGAGATTAGCAATCGCTTGATTAGTTTTCTAATTCTTCTCCAAATCCACGCTTTAACACCCAGAAACTGCAATGCGCTGCCAAACTTGTGCCTTTGACATCCTCCAAATAAGCGTCCCCAATTGTGAGCATCTAATTATCTCAGAATGGACCTTCTTCAGGTTCCTTCTGATGCTTGGGGCAGGTTTTAGCAAGGTTCCAATGCTAAGGGCTCGCCTCGGCTCCAAGCAACCCAAGGGCGCTCAGATCTTGTTTTTGAAAGGGAATCTTCGCTTTTTGGTCTGCATGACCAACCGGCAACCCACGCAAGCAAGGCCCAGCCCAGCCCCCAGCCCAGGCCCCAGCAGCGCAGTCCAGCTGCCTAATTGATTGCCCAACCAGCAACCCGCCCACGCCCAGCCAACCAGCAACCCACCCAAGCAAGGGACACGTCACCAGCCCAACCAGCAACCAACCAAGCAAGGCGCATCCCAGCCCGCCCAGCCCAGGCCCTCCACCAACCAACCCAAGCAAGGCCCAGCACAGCTCGCCCTGTCCCGTCCATCGCCTTGCCCTTGCCTCGCGGGCGCATGACATCAATTGGTCCTTCGACGCCAGAACCTGTCCATGCCTGAATCGCCACTTGACCAGCTCTGCTGCTTGCAGTCGAACCACAGACGCTGCGCGCTCGGCTTGGCCGAGGCGGGCAACGTGCAGCGTTTACAATTACCAAATTACCCACGACGCCACCTGGAGCCTCCATCGTGGCAGAAAATATGCCTCCCCCTGGTTCGATACACAAATTGACATGTCGTAGTTGTTTTTCCTCCACAATTGCTGTCGAGCATTTTGTGGGGCTTCGAGCAGAAATCAAGTTCGGTAGTTTCATGTTCTTTCAGACATAGGGGCGAGTTTGGGAAGAGTCATCAACGAAACGAACGCAACAAAAGTGCAAAACGAGCGCAAACAAGTGCAAACGAGTGCAAACGAGTGAAAATCCAAAACATGATGCAGGGAATGGCTTCCGACGGGAGCATGGTTGCTGACAACTCGAGCGTTTTTTGTTGAGGATCAGATGTCGGCATGCCGCCCACAGCAATCAGGTGGCGGAACACAATGTGACCAACAAATAGCAGTCAGTGATCCTGCGCTAGGCTGGTCTTGCAAACAGAAACGCATTTGCTGCGCTGGTGAGCCAAGATCAGCAAATGTCCAACGTTGGAGAATTGACCGGAATGGCCACATGAGCCAATATTGGTCCTGACCAACGCAACACTGAAAGGGAGGCTCCCATCAATGCGAGCTGCTCGTCTCGCGCAATAGATCCACCTGGAAACCTGCGGCAGCAATTGACCAAAGGCCAGCCCCAAAGAATCTGACAAGTTATCAGAATCAATGGGTGTCCGGCAACTCTGCCTGCTTCAAACCTTGATACCGATGGGAGGATAGCAATTACTCAACAGAGGTGCGAACTGGTAAAAATGAAGAGCACATTTGACAATGGTTCCGTGGGTGCCACTAGCCTTGAAGCAAACCGTCCAAGAAACTGAGTCAGAGCTCAACGACGGGAATCAACATGTATCAACGTCCTGCCTGCCTAGCCTTGGTGTTTGGCCCAAGCAATTGGCGAGAAGAGCCGGTCCAAGATGAAATAGGCCGCCTCTGCCTCTTACCCCCAATACAAGACCCTCCACCCCCTTACCAATGGATGTGCCCTTGCAACTTCTTCCAGTACCTGAAATTTAGGCACAAGAACAAATCCAAAAAGCTGTGCAGGAGCAACTGCATCAGCATGTTCAATTGCTATGACTTCCATCATGGCGCGGCAAGCACGAAGAAGTCACGATTCGCAGAAGGCCGCCTGCGCCCAACTGCTCATTTGGTGTTGTCGCCGCATTTGGGATGCCTCTCCTGGTTTGCCTGGCCCCGCCTGGCATCTGCATAGCCGGAAGAGTACCTCCACGCGCAAAAAATATGGCAGCCGGCGATGTCCTATCAGGACACACCTTCGGTTTGTTAGATTGGAAGCAATGCGAGACCGCACTACACGGAGAAGGGAACCGGATGCCTGGGCATATTGAAAGCCATCAAGCTCACTGAAGATGGATGCCGACACATGCCATGGCCATCTGAGGCAACTCTGCTGGCCTCTGCCCATAATCCCACCCTTCTCCAAAGCGGCGCACTGATTGGCTGTGCCCGGGTAGGCGGTTTGGCTTTGGTACGGGCTGCCCTGGTAGCCTCCTCCTTGGTGCCCGCCGCCTTGGTACCCGCCGCCTTGATATCCACCGCCCTGGTACCTGGAGCGAAATCCGAGACGCGCAGAGGATTTCGCGGAAGCGACAGAATGCTCAAGCATTCTGGGACTCTGGTTTTGTCATGTTTTGTCCACTTCCTTCTTGGAGTCTGCTCTATGCTGGCTGAATTCGAGCTTGAGGATGAGTATAGGGACGTGCGGGGGTGGTTGCAAGGCCTGAGGTTCGGTTCAGGATGGGTTTTGGGTTTGTATGGTTGGTTTAGGATTGATTTCGGGTTGAGTTGGTGGAGAGCTGGTTGAGAGCTGGTTGTCACAAAGGGTGTGTTGGGGCTGGTTCAGGATGGGTGTCAGATTTGGGTAGATTTGGGACTTGGGGTTGAAGTGGAGCCAAGAAAGAACGAGAAAGAGTCACCACAAAGGCACTCCTTAATCTAACTCGTACTTGACCAATTCAGTCTCACATTTGTGTGGGTGTCCACTTCAGTCCGGCCGTCCTTGGCAGCGGGCAGAAGCGTGCACTGGTCTGAGTGCCTTGCTTTATGATGGCTCTCCGAGCGACTGACAGCTTAGCTTGTCAAGTGTTCTGGGGCTGTAATCTGGCTGCGACCAGGCTACTGTGCACATGAGTTTGGATTCGCTTCCACGAATCCTTCGATGGAACGAGACAGGTCGTTCCTGCACTTGTTCTGTAAAAGGAATACTTGGGTGCTATTGATGTCATAAATCCATCCATAGAACTCATCCTGAAAAAGGCTGGAACAACATAGTTTTTGTCTAAAACACACTAAACATGGAACAATCAAAAAAGAATATGCCTCTGAATCAAAGTCTGCGGAGACCGAAGAGAGATCTGTCTCATCCCCCAAGTCCAAAGCTCTGATCCCCTCTTGGATACCTTTGTTGCCTGGAAAAGCACCTTCATGAGTTCCCAACTTCCATGTGACTCTTCATCAGGGCATGGGACAACTCTTGATCAGGGCTGCCCCCGGTGGCTCGCTCTGTGCGATATCTGCCTTTTGTCGCGCAACTGTATCCAGTCCCAATGAAGCAGCCTGAACGGCACACCGCGTGCGTGGGCCACCCCCAGCCTCTTCAAAGCAAAAAGAAAATGCAAAGGGCCCAGGGCTGCAATGCCCCAGTTTGGCTGCTCCCTGACTCCTCACTGTGACGTACAGCAGACCAGATGTGTATATATATATATATGTAAACGTTTGCACATGTGTGCCTACACCATACACATACGTTGCTTACGTGTGTATGAGCTCGCATGCATGTGTGCATTCAAGGGTGGAGTGTTCGGGCGGGCAGGCCTAGCACCTGAGAAGAGCTTCCGGTTTATGTGAAATACTGTGGATGGACGAAATCCGTTTCGCAGAACTTGGAAACCATGGGGAAACCCATTGCTTGTTGGTATTTACGTTGGGGAATCATCAGAAACCAGGGTGTTTCTTAGGTGGTGGAGGCTGGCGTCCATCCACAGTATGTGTTTCAGTGTTTCAGTGCGGTGTTTGTTTCCGTGTGGTTTTGGGGCAGATGCAAGCATCTTTGGGAAAGCGTTCGGGGGGTCGCCTGCAGCGCATTCATGGTTCCGCCTGCAGGATACGCGCGACTCGAACAGAGCCTTTCCCCGCTCTGTGGGTCTGGCGAAGCTGGCGGCTCTGAGGTGCCATCCCTGGCTTAACCAACTCGAGCCATGCCCAAGGCTCCCAGTGAAGCGCATCGATGTCCCGCTCCCAACTCGCTGAAGTCAGTCGGTTTATATAACATATGTAATTTCATGAATGTTGAATGAGTTGTAATAATGTTGACATTGTGTGCACTAAATGATTTACGTGTATAATGTGTATGTATATATGTATATACATGATTTGAAGGATGTAATTGTTTGGTGCAAGTGAAATGCAAGGACAATTAAGTGCATCAATGTTGAAATCCCGGAGACAGTCAAGTTGTGGAGAATTCAAAAACCACTCACCCACGACAACAGACTTTCAACCGCTTCCTTCCTCGGCAAACAAGCCTGGTCAAAAACACGACCTTGGGCCCCATGATTCAAATGAAGTGTGCCAAAACCAGAAGTCTAACAATCCTCCGCATGTGCTTCCTGGGCTTTGTCAAGGGAACTCAGATCTCGAGCCGCCAGTTTGGCGGTTTGCCTCAGGTCAAAGGCCAAGGCAGCCGCACCAAGTCGCGAAGATTCGAAGATTCGAAGATCCCTGGTGGGAAAAAGAGCATTTCCAGGTGCACCAGAGGGGAAGCTGCAAGCCTCTTGTCAAGGGCATGTTCAGGTATAGGTGTTGGAGGTTTGGAGGATATGTGTCACTTTAAAAGGGGTACATACTGCCTTACAATCTTGTATTGGTGGTAAGTAAGCACAGTTGATCTTGATTGTTTTATGTGTGAAATCAATCAACGCGGCTGAAAGAGTCTCCTTCACATGCAGCTTCCAGGGTAGGACTATCATAGTGAGAACTGTCATACTAAGCTGTATGGGAAACCCATGACCTTGTTGCCAAAACATCTTGTCTGGAAGGCAGGGTGCCTGAACATCTTGGAGCACTTCAGAGAAACCCTAAAGACAACGAACCGGTTGAAGGGCTCCTTATTTCAGGAAACTGAGAAACACTCCTCCGCAAACAAGCCAGGCCCAGGTGCCATGACCATCGCTTGCCTAGATTAGCCCTCCCTTGACGGCGCTATGGAAGTGCAGGGATCAATGCACAGCCTCCCCACTTGAAGGGCAGCCCACAGATCGCTTGGAGTGGACAGGCTGTTCAAAACTCCCAAATTCAGGCGCCGAGATCTGCATCTGGTGAAGAAGAGACGCTGGCTTCGCTGGACGAATGAAGCAGGCACACGCCTCTGGCAACAACAACTCCCTCAAACCAGTAGTGAGGCGTTTGCTCACCCTACACCGGCACCAATAAAACTGTCCTGCTTGCAAAGTCCTCGTCAGCTCTCTCCTCCCAAGCCGTGGCTGGTTCATCTCGCGCCCACTTCAAACCTGCAGCCAGGTGGGAGCAGTTCACGAGAAAGCTCCGAACCTCTCCAATCCATGACCCTCCCAAGTCAGAGCAAATGCAGCACGTCTGGTTCAACCCTGATACCCCTTCCCCAAAAGAGATAGGCGACCAAATAGATCTCGCTCCGAACACCAAGTCTTTGGCAGCCAAATCGCCAGCGGAGCTCAGCGCCCCGCCTCATCTGCGCCGAAGCCGCGCCTCTTGAAACACGGACGGGTCTACGTGGGGACTGCGGCGCTCAAATTTACTACAACGTATTGTAAATTTTAGATATTGTTTCCTGAAACCATCATAATGCAAAAACAAATATAATTGAAGATAAAACAAGATACACAGCGGGACTTGAGACGGGATTTGATGAGATGGAACCAGTGGTCAAGATGTTAGCCCGCCAGAAAGACCATCTTCTCGGCTTGCGCGAAAGCTTGGGTTCCAGATCTTATGCAACCCTTCGCGCAGCCCATGCCAGGCATGCCATGAAAACCCTTGTCTAGACTCGTTCCTCTTGTTCTGCTCTGGCTTCAGCCTGCAAGGCTTGCAGCGTTCCAGCCCTTTCCATCCCAACACTTGTCAGGGCTGAATCACAGGCCCCCAAATGTACAAAGCCCGGCAACTGCAAACGGACCTCATCGCGAGAACCGTTTGGTGGGCACGGCCCATCCTATCCCCGCCTGCGCGCAGAACATCAGCATTACTGCCAGGGGCAAGACGGCACCGAGAGACACCTGAGGCCCAGGGAGAGGAATCGGCCCCCAGGCCACGCTTTGAGGGTGACAATATGAGTCTAGGTGAGGAAGACGGAACACTGGTTGGCTCACCCCACATTGAGCAGGGGCCGTTCCAACGTGCTGCTACTGCTTGTGTGCACGTTGCCTCTTTGGACGTAGGCACGGCCGGAATGCGCAACAGCATGTTGCCGGTCCAAAAAAAGACCCGCTGACCCAAGCGCCCCAGGTGGCATCTTAGTCGCTAAATGCCCCCCCAAAAAAAAAGGAAAGTTCGCCATCTCGAGGCTGTTTTCCGATCTGGGCCTCCCCGCTGCTGGCACCAGGGGCACGTACGCCTGGCTCATCCGTTGCCTTACCCACATGGCGAGCAGAGCGGGGAGCGAGCCTCACACTCAGTGGCCAAAGTCAAGCGCCCGATGGTTCTCAAACCAGGGGACCCCGTTTTGGATGGCCCAGGGCCCAAGGAAACCACCCACCGTTTTGGCGGACTAGTTTGATCCCATCAGAAGGCTTCCGAACTTGTGAAGAAATGTCACAAAGCCGAAGCATTGGCAACCATCTCACGTGTCACCGCGTTGAAAGAACCGGTGAACAAATGTCATGTGCATTGAGCATTTGAGCAGCCACTGGTCCAGGTATTTTATTGACAGAAGCATGCATCGTTCACACAAGCTGAACACTACAGCCTCTTTCGATCAGATTGAAAGCCATTGTGTGATCTATTTAACGTGGCGGATGCATCCCCGAAGCCGTGACCGTGACTTCGTGTCTGTCACTCGACTGCTGGACCCTGCCCCAATTTGATCGCTTCAGCCGCCGATCGGTGGATAAATGGAATGACCCCGAGATACACCATACAACAGCTGGTGTCCTTTAAGACCCTCCAGGTTCATTCCCTCCTCAGCACCAGCAAGTCAATTCCCTTGAAAGAGAAGCTGTCACAAAAGTACACTGTCTCCGCCAAGCAACGTGTCTGCGATTGATGGCGCCTAGCCGTTGGCCGGAGACTCGGTCTTGCTGCCTGCTAGCTTTCTGCTTTTTTTTGGCTCCCTGATTCTGCACCCTTTGCAACCAAACGCACTCTGCATGTTGACTGAATGGAGCTCATGCCATCTACAGCTGCGATCACAACGATATCACTGCATGCTGGTAAACGTGTTCATTGTAATGACAAGGAATTTTGCAGCAGAGACTAAACGTTGCATGCGGCAAACCTCCCTTTTCCTGCCTTAGACTTGTGCTCAGGCGCGCGCAGTGGGGGCTTCCTGCGGGAGGAAATTCTCTCATTGTAGATTTGAAGGACCCACCAAGCCCAGGGCACGGCTTTCAACCCTCTTGGAAATGCACCTGCCGAAGAATCGCGCACCAAATTACCACAAGTGGGTATTTATTACTCACCAAATTCGCATGTTATTCGGGACCATGGCTCACACAAGATTCTCCAGCCTCCCCTCTCTGCTTGGTGGAGGGAACCCCTACTTGTAACATGTAGTCGTGCCAGGGAACCGCCCGAATTGGCAGAATGTGCGTGGAAGGCCTTCCAGTGAGCTTGCGTGGAAGCTATCAAAAACAAGCCGAGGATCCAAGGCCCATCTGAGCCCTCGACCCCCGCTTCTGCGGTAGCTGCGGTAGCTGTGGTAGGTGTGGCAGGCGAAAATGGTCCCTGGCCGTAGAAACTAACTTCTGGCCCAAAGTGCACGCGGTGTTCAATTGGCCTATTCAAATATGGCAATCAGCTTCAGAGGGGCATGCGAGCAAGGATGCGTACCACATAGTGACGAGCCCATGCCTGCCGAACGCAGCCAGCGATGATACTGTTGGACGTCCCATGCAACGAGGTTCCACAGCACAAACTGTCGGACCACTGCCCCTGGATCCTTGCCCCATTTGGCCTTGGCTGCTCCAGCATCACGGGCCTCAGAACGGATTCGCTGCGCCAAGCACAGCAATGCGAGGCTGCATGATGTGTGGTTTCCCAATCGTTGCCATGTACGAGGGCAGAAGAACAACCAAATGACTCGTGGCAAGAAAGTCGCCAGATTGGTTCTCCCAAGCCAAAGCATTGAAACCTGACCTCTATATTTTTCGTAGGCTGAACTCTATGGGCCCCCCAAACCCACAGCCCAGGCAGGCCCCAGTCCCAGACACCAGAAAGGCGCGTTTCCCCGCTCCATTTGGGCGTCTTTTTGTAAAGAACCCACGAAATGGTAGTTGCTTAATTGGTTTAGCGCAGATTCGCTGACACGCAAACTGAGACGTGCATGGCTTAATCTTTCAGAACTGGCAGGATCAACCTGGTTGATTCATTACGCTGCCAGGTGTGAAACTCGGTCAACTGTCAGAGTTGCTCTAGCACCAGTGTAACACTCAGGGACCCGATGCGAAGCCAACATCAGGCTGCGCCCGGCCTCTAAACAAGGCCCGCCTCAAAAACCGACGAGCCATTGGAACCGTTTTCTTCGGCTGGGGCTGGAGGACCCGGCTGCACCTCCGGGAGAATACTCTCCGCCGCCACCTGGCCCTTGATGTGGGACCAGCCCCTCGGCGAGGCACGCGTTGAGAGCGGCGAGCGCAGGTCATTCGAGATGTATGATATGGAAACACATATACTTATATGATTAATATGTGTATACATATATATATATATGTATGATTCATTCACCTGCAGCTATTGGTGATGGAAAGACTCGAGGCCATATACCGGTCGATGCAACACAACTGCTGTAGCAAGGGGTCTTCCCCTGGTCTCCACAAGCTTCTCAAGAGGTACAAATGCGGGACTCCCCTTGTCAGCCGGTCCAAGACGACTTGCACACACCTCACTCCCGGGTAAAAACGTTTCCCCGGTGCCTCTTCATCATGTCGCCCTCGGAGACGGCCTGGCAGGCCAAAGAAAAGGCCATTCAAAGGACAAAAAGCGGGGAACGTCCAAGGTGCCTGATGCCCAACTTGAAGACTTCCACGAAGGACAAACAAAGTGAGAAAAACTTCCAAGGTGCCTGATGCCAAACTCGAAGCGGCAAGCAGCACATCGGACGCGGATGGGCCGCGGATGAGTCATCATCAAAACCCGGTATTAAAATGATCAACCCAGAACTCAGAACCATGTAAAGAAAAAAGAAGACGGCCACAGCTATTTTTGGTTGGGATTGTCCCTTGCATCTACCCGGGTTTTGAGCACGTGGCTCAGATGGGCCTTGAACATCTTGATGGAGCCATCAATGAGCTGCAGGCCCACTTTTCCAGCACAGCTGCCCACCAGCAGCGCGCCCTGGGGAATTGCAAGCTAGACATTTCTGCAGAGACCAAGCATCCGGCTGGCGTCAGGCAGCAAGGCGCTGCGAGTCTCTACCTTTCAAGAGTTGGTGGCAAATGCTTCTATCGGGTTTTTCCGGCCAGGCACGGGGCCCTCCTCGTGCAAACTAGCCTGAATGTTTTAGCGAACCTTCATCAATCCCGTAGAAAAAAATGTCCAGCATAAACAAACCAGCTCACCAGCAACAGGGATCCTTACATTATACACCTGAACATTGCCTTGTAAATGGCGGTTTCCCTTTATTTTGGTGGAAAAGGCCATGTTTCAAATGGTTGCAAAATGGAGATCTTTTAAGGAGCCGCGATAAATTTTCCTGATTTTTTCTCTGGCCCGAAGTCTTCAAGGCGACGGCTTGCCCACCCCGGCTGCTGCCTGAAAGCGCTCGATGGTGGGCGCCATGGGCCATTTGGGGCCTCGATGCAAGTCTCTCGCTGCCCGGAGGGGCTCGGAAGCAGAGAAACTGAGAATCAATTTCAAAATCGCGAAATCACGAATCCAACAAATCACGAATCCGGGGGAAAAAAAAAAAGAGAGAGAAAGACATCCCTCCAAGAACCGCAAAGTGGAAAATAATGAATCCAGCTTGTGCCCGAACCAAGGGCTTCGCAAGCGGAGAAAAGGAATCACCCTCAAAAGCACAAAAAATATTGGAGCGATGCTAATCTGGCCCAGCGGCTCAAGGGCACCTTCCAGCGGATAGGCCTCTCGCCCATGTAGATGTACGCGATGGCCTCCGCGCGGCTGCTTCAGAATGATCCCAAGGCTCGGGCAAGCAAAGGCATCCAGAAACAGCAAGACTCGGTTGCCCTCTCTGCTCCCCTGCTAAAAGTTCAACTTTTAGTGGTTTTGGATATGAAGAAAAAAACATTAGCTAGCAGAAAGTTAAAGTCCTAACATCCAGATTCAGAAACAACCAGAGAATGACTCAAACCAAAGTCAGCTCCTCTGCAAATACTGTGGATGGTTGTGAAATCCATTTCGCACCACCTAAGAAACCCTGGTTTCTGATGATTCCCCAACGTAAATACCAACAAGCAATGGTTTCCCGTGGTTTCAGAGTGGCGCAGGATTTCGTCCATCCACAGTATGGGTCAAGTCGGTGAGGGCATCCGATTCCAAATCTGTGGAAGCTTCAGGCACTCCAACCGGCTGCGCGGCTTGCTGACTGCCCGGAAATGAGAACCGCAGACTGGCAATGCTTTGTTGCTTTCCCTGTTTGAGCAAAACCCTCCAGCTTGTCTACCGAATCGTGGCTCTCAAGCGCTCAGTTTGCCGACGGGCGCGCCCCTTTGTACGAGTCGCTCGGGCAGGTGGCAATGTGGTTGTCCTTGGCCAGACAAGGTGAGTCATAATCAAAACCCGGTATTAAAATGGTCTACCCAGAACCATGTAAAGAGAAAAGAAGGCGGCCGCAGCTATTTATGCTTGGGAGTATCCCTTACTAACCTTCACCTACCGGGTTTTGAGCACGTGGCTCAGGTGCTGAAAGATCAAGCGCTGATGCATGAGTGCGCCCTCCAGAGCTACGAATCCGGGCAACTAAGGGGAAGGGAAGCAAGTGTGCACCCTGGGGAAGTGTTCCCAACATGTGACATGGGCCGCATGATGCAAACAACCTCCCTGCCAGATGTGTTTATCCGTGGATTTCAGCGCGACTGTTGGAGATTTCAGCGCCTTGTGCACCTCATGCGCCTCGCTTCATGCGTAGGTCTGGGAAAGTCTAACGTGGCTTTCACTGATCCGGAGCATTCACTTCCACTGGCTTGCCAAGCAAAAGGTCTCCTTTGGCTGGTTGCGAGAGGTTGCTGGCGAGACTTTTGCTTTGCCTGACCCCGAAACAGTTGAGTAGCTTGGGGCATTCACGAACATGTATGTCCTGGTTGGGGTGTCATCTCCTGCATTGAAGTACTTCCTTCCAATGAGCACGCGTCACTTGTCAACTGAACTAAACATGAGCAACAGGCCGCAAGAGCGCGAGAAGATTTGACAGCCTGTCTGACTGACTCTATTGGACAACCAAAACACAGCATCCACCAAAAGAAAACACAATCGGGTGCTAAGTAGGGCCGGCGGAGCTCCCAAATTCTGTGGGGTCTATTCAGATGGCTCCAGGGGAAGTAGAGAGCAAGGCATACCAAATTGTGTGGCGAATGTATGAATGAATTATGAGAGCCGCGCAACCACGGCACTAGTAGCACCATTTGTTATTCGCATCTGCGGCAAGAAGCCAAATAGCCATGGGAATGGACTGCGACTCTGAAAACAACCATCCAACCCCTCAGCAAAGCCCCAACCCCCAAACCCCCCCCAACCCCCCCCCAACCCCCAACCCTCAACCCCTCCCCCCCCAACCCCCAAACCACCGCCCCCCCCCCCGGGGCCCTCGAAGCGCCACTCGTTCGCTCAGGTTCCGCGCCACCGCGGAGCGGATCCGCCCGTGTTGCTGCTCCACACCACTGAAGAGGCCGTAGCCTCCGAGGCCGTCCGTCGGACGCCCGGTCAAAACGTATCCGCTGAGTAGTGCAGCCGCAGACCACAGCCTTTTCAACTTACAAAGGAGATACAGCAACTGAAATAAATTATGTGTATGTACACCTACGTATACACTGGCGGATGCATTTTGGCAAGGTTGCGACCAAAGCTATCGATCGTTGAGACCGTAATCTGACTGGCGTCCTGCTCCGCTTTGGCTTTCTCTGAGTTGACCCTCCCAATCGGAATGGATTTGCAGGCCATGCAAGGGTATTGGGACTTCCACTTCCAGAAATTGTTCAAGCCTGTAGCTCAAAGCAAGTGCTGTGGGGACTGCACACACTAGCCCTTGGTAGGGCTCTCAGGCACTTTGCTTCAAGCTGATCTTTGCCTGTTGACCTGTGGTAAGATCTGGGATAAGAACAAGCAGTTAAAATCGTCATTAGAAGAAGGACAACACCTCAGCAAAGCAAGCAGTGTGCCAAATATTTCGGAGCGGCGGCAACAATGGCAATTCTCGCGAACAACTGCTTTACGAGGTGGAGTCAACTCCAACAAAATTCAAACTCGCTATTGCCCAGGAAAGACGAGCAGGGCCGCCCAGCTGTTGAAAAACAGGCTGGCCCGCCTACAGCAAAGCAAATGCAGTACAAGACCGCCAGGGCGTAGGTGACCTTTGCAAGCATCATCTGTCACCCGAACAAAGAAACTTGTGTTGACGGGACACGTCCTTCCCAGGAGTTGCCACATGAGGGCCCTGCACCCGACAGCGCCGTAGACCGGAAACTGGATGACCCTCCAGATCTTCTAAGGACTGTGTGCAAGCAGGAATGACACGCGCCAATCGCTTGAAAGCTTCACCCAATAGAAAGGGTATTCACTTGATGCGGGTGTCGATTAGCTCTTCGAGAAGCCCAACAAATCCCATCAGTTGACTCTCGTGCACATGCAGGCTCGTGCGCATAGCCATAGCCATTGCTTCAATGAGCTCAAAATTAGGACCTTGTCTCTCCAGCACTTCTCCAAACCAACCCCAAAATAACCCCCCCACATCTCCTGCAAGCCTCAGCCAAAGCCCTCAGGCAAGCACAGCAAAGCAAGTGTAAAGCCGCAATCCTAGTTCAACCTTAGAACTAGCCCACCCAACCAATCCTTAAGTACCCTTAACTAAACTTAAAGCTGCCACTGACCCGAAACCCTGGGCCGCCACCTGAACCCGTCGTGACCCTCCCCTTGCCCAACTCTAGACCAACCTCCTACCTTCGCACGGCCTCCTGACTGCCCCACAACCTTCCCGAACCATCCTGAGCCGGCCAACCGGCACCTCCCACTCAACCTAAGGGACCCTCTCAAAAATCATGCCACCATCACCCTAGTCATCAACCACGGGGCTGATTCTTGTGGTCACATTAGACCATTCACACCACCAGAGCGCTGCTCGGAGAGGTCCGGGCGTACACAGAGTACGGCCTCAGGCGACCCAAGCTTTGGCCCAACAGAAACAAACGGCTGGCAAAATAATGATAAAGACCATTTTAGACAGCCAAGTTAGGGTTTCCATCACACAGAGCCGCCCAACCTTGAGCTTTGATGGTCGGGCTACGGTCGAGCCTGAACAAAATCGAGAAAGTCAAAGCATGTTTGGCCAGAAAAAGACCAAAAAGCTCGTGATAAATGACTGCCAAGGTTGAGAACTTACCAAGATTCCGCTTTGTGGCGGATTGTTTGAGAACTATCGAATTGTCAATTGATGCGTAGTGGAAGGGGGAAAACCTCAACGAAAGGTAGGACAACGCTGTCAGCCTACGTTGCGATTGTCTGTTTTGTTTGTTCAGTACTCTTCTTGTACGATTCACATTTACGATGTCAATACGATTTCCGCAGCGTGCATGCTGTATCTACATGATTATCCACGTTAAGCCCCCTACCCCAAAATAACAGAATGGTAAAGAAATCCAAAAAAAAAAAACTGAGAAACGAAAAAAGTAAAGGTTGCCTAAAAATGATCAATGGTTCTACGCTATGAATAAATGTATGGTTTTTCTTAAACGAATTATTGATGACTTTCTTTACGATTTCCCGGGACTCGCCAAGGTCCTCTTCCGAGAAATATGGTATGTCGGAAGCACAAAGGTGTAAAATCAATGCCAATCAGGTCAAAATCGTAATGAATGGGCTTCCCTTGACTTAGCATACACCGTAGGACAAAAGTAGTGCAAATCTGTCTGTTCGGCTGTGAGGCTCATGTCGGCTTGTCATGATCTCCCACTGCGTGGTGTCACTCGCGCCTGGATAGCAAGAACAAAGTCCCGAGCTGGCTAGTATTGGCTCTTGCAAAATTAGGTTCACAGCATCGCAACTTAAGAGACATCAATTCTTTCTTTTGTGATGGTCTCTTCCTGTATCTCTCGCTGGGCCTCCCTGGCGCTTTCTCCACCTGGCCCAAAAACCGTTTGGGTTGACCTAAACGAGCCTTTGCCAAAACGGGGATGGAAAGTCGGCCAAAGCTGCCAATGCCGCCTGCCTTCTTGTGTTCTTGTGAGTTTTGTGGGTGACCGTAAGTAGAACATCCGACATGGAGGCCCAGGCCTTGTCGATCCAAAGCCACACGGAGCAGCACTGCCTCGACTTCAGAAACGCCGCGGCGGTTCAAATACCCGCTCAAAATGGTAAAGGCTGCCATTTACCACCAGATATTGTTATTTTATTTTATTTTTTATCAAGGCCAGCAATCAAGGCACGGCGCATGGTGTGTGCCCGAAAGCTCGGGGACTTCCTGGCCGTGTTGATACAAATGAAGGACCTAGAGCGCAAGACTCACCAGAACTGGTCCTATTCACCATCGACAGCTTCGCGCAAGAAGATTTTAGAGCAAGACGACTGCTTCTGCTTCGCCAAAAAGATCGCCCACCGAGAGGTTTCACAGACAAACGGCAAGCCGCTGCAACACTCCTGCCAAACTGCTGGTTGCGGCACAGCCTGCTGCATTCCTGAAAAGCAAGCCAAGAGTGGTTTTTGACATAAGAACCTATGCCCAAATGTGAAAGGATTTCCTAACGATTCCTGCAAGCTTCAGAGGCGTCCAAGCCAACGCCAGCAAGCCATGACTTTCACAGAAGCCATCCAAGGATCCTGCATCAAGGCGTAGAGAAGACAGGTGAGGAGCACCCACATGACAGTGGAGTACAGCTCCTGTCCGCTGGCGTGCACAAGGGGAGACGAGTTGCTTGGAGGATGCCATTCAGTCGGTACTCTGCAACCAAACCACATTTGCCTCCACGCAATCTCGGTCTTTGGAAAACTTAATTGCTGGCAGGCTCACTTTGCTTGCTTGCTTGCTTGCTCGCTTGCTTGCTCGCTTTGCTCGCTTGCTTGCTCGCTTTGCTTGCTTGCTTGCTCGCTTTGGTTGCTTGTTCGCTTTGCTTGCTTGCTCGCTTTGCTTGCTCGCTCGCTCGCTCCCTGGCTGGCTGGCTGGCTTGCTTGCTTGCTTGCGTGCGTGCTTGCTTGCTTGCGTGCGTGCGTGCTTTTGTGCATGCTTGCGCGTCGGGTGCGCGCGCAAGCACACAGGTAGTGTCTGATGATTATAGGCAAAACCACGAAAGACCAAACAACTACAAAACACGTATATGGTGTTCCGTTTTTTAGACTGGAGACCCTTGGGTGAACATGAAATCGGTGAGGGTTAAGTCCACCAACTACTTTTCGAGGTGGTTTCAACTCTAATTCGCGCCCATTCTGGACTTGCGGGCATTCCAAGGGATATTGGGTGGGTCTTTCTTTTCAGGAATCGGAATTCCTCCACCAAAACGGCGCAATGGTATTCCTTTTGGCTTCCATTCGAAACCACCACAAAAGGGTTGCAACTGACCGCAACCGCCCCATATGCACTGCCAACTCCTAGGATTCGGCTCTAAGAAATCTCGATCTGAAATCGGAAAGGTGAAAAGGGTAGGGCTTTCCCCGTGAAAGTCCGTGCTTCGCTGTACCCCGTGCTGCACCCGATTGCAAACTGAACCCCGCGCGGCTTGCAGGCTCGTGCATGCATCTTATTTCACAAACCGAGGGTAACAATGATTTCGAGTGGAAGTCGATGGACTCAAGAGAAGTGCTCAAACACCGCAAATGCAGCCTCAGCATGGTGTGTCCAGCGAATCCCAAACATGAGGGAAGGCAACTTTCTTCGCAGAAGTCTGCATGTTGGCAGCTAAAGCGCATGACCCCGCCTCTGACAAAGGACCCATAAGCTGATACCCGCCTTTCCACCATGGAAAGATACTGGAAAGCTTTCTGTTGTGGTGGGCCAAGCTGATTGGCACCAAAGGACTGTGACAGTCGGCTAGGCGGCTGTTCAAGTTTTTTCAAGAAGCACACACGAGCACGCCAATCGCAACCACGTTAACACATGGCAGCCGCCAAAGGCAAAAAGAGAAACGCATGAAGCGGGCCCCAAGGCCGGTCCTTTGCGATCCTGGAAACAAGATGCTCCAGCTGAGCATAGTAGCTGATCAGCTCTTCGAAGGGTACCTGAAATTCTGAAAGCTCCTTTCGGCTCACGTCAGCCATACGCCCATTCCAAGTCTCCATACGCATCAGCCAAGCATCCATTTCCACAAGTCTCTCAGTCTTGAGGGCAGGGTCTTCGGAAAAGTAATTTCGGTCAGTTGGGAGAATACTTGCTTGTGTGAAGCCTCACATCCGCTTGAAAAGAATTATATAAGGTGTCATGCGACGTGGTCTTGCTGGATCAGGGCTTGGACCAACCTTCACATTCAGACAGCAGCACTTACCATATGATTGACCGCCCTTTTGCAAGTATGTCAACGGAAAGGAAACTACAAATTGACTTCTGTCAATTGACCACGAGGCCCCCTGCCCTGCCCCGATCGATCTCGTCCGCAAACTCCTCCAGCCTTCGGCTCCGACTGCAAAACCGCCGGCAACTCAAGTAACAAACATTGAAAGCTCCTCACTTCCATGCTCAAATTCCGCAAAGATGTTGATTATATGATATCAACAGTATTGTTAACATATGTATACATATATATATATATATTGCCATGCAAAAACAACTCAAGCCTTCCAGATTGGCCTCCAAAGAGTCGGTCAGCCACGCGCAACAAGGCAAGCCTCGCCTGCGCTCGGCGCTCCGCAGGCCCAGGAGCACCGGGTAGAAGGCGCAGCAGACGCCGGGGGTGCAGACCACCAGCGCTGCGGCGGAGCGGCGGAGCTTTCGCCGCGGCGGAGCTTTCGCCGCGGCAACCGGAAGCGGCCAGTGAACATCCCAATCCCAATGGGTGGTGCACCTAAGATGGGTTGAGGGTGGTGCACCTACCCCAAAATGGTACCATGAACCCAAGTTCTAGCAGTTTAGTGACCATTGGTTGGATTTCAACCACTAAGCCACAACAAGCAAGAATGTAAAATGTGTCCCAACAACAACCATGCAAAATCCACATCTTAGCCCCAGTGAACATCCCAATCCAACCACGAAATCGGTTCTAAAATGGGTGGCGAATTCACCTACCCTCATTTTTTTACCATTAGTTTTGACCCCCTTCAAGTGGAGCTGGGAAGTCTCTAGAGAACCCTGCAACCAAGCAGGGGGCTTGATGGAAGCCTGGCTTCTATAACCAGCACGCAAAACACGGGGTTAGGGCGGGTTAAAGAATACAGGCTGCAATTGACCGAGCCGGGCTCTTCCTTGAGAACCCCAGGCTTTCAACGCGAAAACCATAGTCGCAAGCCGCGCCTCCTGCGCTCATGGTGGTTTGCACAATGCGATCCTTGGCAACTTTCTCTCTCATTGCCTTCGCTTTGCATGTCGCGTCGATTTTAGCACTTGGAAAACCTCTCATTTGTCGCAATACGGGTATGTCACAAAATGAGGGAAACTTCCCCGCAAAAGGCGCCTGGGCTCCCTTGAAAACCACCCCAAACCCGGAACCAACTCCAAAACGACTCGCTGACGTCTCCTCGCTCGGGCTCGCTGGGCGCGCGCGCCCTGCAGGTGCCCCAGCTGCAGTGAGCCTTCATCCACAGGCCGTGGATGAAGAGCAGCCAGTAGGCGCACCTCATGGACTGAAACCAGATTAGGTTCAAGGATCCACCTCGGAATGGGCAACGAGGGGTCAACCCTTCAATTAGGTCGACTGTAAAGTCTACATAGACAAGTGCACGTGACGACTGCCACTGAATCAGAATCAGCTCCTGCGGCAACGAAGTAAACCGAGATGCACCTCAAGCATTGGACGTGGACCGCCAAGTGATCGCAACTTTGATCAACCCAAGGCCACGAGTCCCTCTCTGCCCAGGTACCCACAGGCCCCCCGACTGCACCAGCGCCTGCAGCAGGCCCAGCAGACACAAAGGCCTTGCCAGGTCCTCCTGCTCCGCTTCACCCAGCGCCAGCTCCTGGAGAGGCAGCCACTCTGCCAAACAAGCAGAGCCATCAGTATGATGTATGTGAAAAAGACGTGTGTGTGTATATATATATATATATAATATGTATATGTGTGTGTATGTATAAGTTGTATATGTATATGCAAATGTTTTGTATATGTATACATATACATATGTGTACCCACATCACCGTAGATACGATAACGCATATTGCAAGATTGGCTCCAATAAGGTTTCACTGGTCGACAGGCCTCAAAGTTTTCTTGGAGCTGAGGTCCACCCCCCCCCCCCCGGACTTTTGGGGACCTCTTGAAGAGAGACGGGGAAGTATGGCCACAAGAGGGCCAGTCCTTCGCTTGACGGACTGTCTCAATTCGCTGATCGCGAGGCATGAGACTTGAAGCCAACAGATTTCAAGAACCTCAAGGCCAGCTTCGGAGCGGCGGCGCAAGTACCCGCCCGGTTGACCTGCCTGCATTTGCTTGGAGTTGTAGGCTTGCCGAGCCTCCTGCAACCATGCGTTGGACAGGCTGCGAAACAGGACGTGCAGGGAGACAAAACCGTAGCTGACACTGCTCCCGCACCGAGGAAAGCGAAAACCGGAAACGAGCTACTAGTGATTGTCTTCACCGAACAAGACTTTCTGGCTTCCCCAATGCAAAGTTACGTTCAAGCCGTTCGCAAGGCCTTCACCACCCTAGTCGTGGTACGGTCGTGGTACGTGTATCTCAATCTGGCCACTCAAGCGAGAGACAGAGAGAGAGAGAGAGAGAGAGAGAGAGAGAGAGAGAGAGAGAGAGAGAGAGAGAGAGAGAGGAGTTGGAGCGATCACACATGCCGTGGAGGCAATGTCTGCAGAAACAGCTGAGGCAGTTGCGTGACTCGTTGTCCCACCGTGTTTGCATGCAACTGCAGCCACGGAGACTTCAGCCAACGGGCCTGCCTGCAGGGCAAAGATGGCCAGCAGGTCACAAAGTGCGAAGCCGGCAGTTTTCCAGCTGCCTGCGCTTCAGCCGAACAGGCAAGCCCTCCCCCCAGCTCTTGCCCGGAGCACCTCGGCTTTGTGCGACTAATGCTGTTCAAGGCCATCACTCGGAATCCGCCTGGGTGAACTGCATTCCATGGTGTGTGTGTGTGTGTGTGGGTGTGGCTGTGTGTGTGTGTGTGTGTGTCCATGAGTGTCTGTGTGTGTGTGTGTGTGCGTGTGTCTCCATGTGTCTCTGTGTCTCTCTGTGTGTCTCTCTTTCTCGGTGTGTGTCGGTGTGTCTTTGTGTCTCTGTGTGTCTGTGTGTCAGTATGTGTGTGTGTGTGTGCGTGAGTCGGTGTGTGTCTCTGTGTGTCTGTGGTGTGTGTTGTGTGTGTTTTGTGTGTTTTGTGTGTTGGACCTGCAACGGGGTGCATCAAAGGCAATCTCAACAATCTCAACAAATGGCATCACAACGTATTTGTTGGGTGCCATGCTACAAAGCAGAGAGTACCACAAGAGTAGATCCGAACACAGGGACACCTTATTTATCCGAGGCGGACACAAAGCCCGAAATCTAACCCCTCCTGCACAACGGTACGCCAGTGAAGCCTGGCGTTCCTAGCGTGACTGCCCCTCTGCAAATGCAAGCCGGCACAGCCCACGGAACATGTGAACTCAGCGAGTGCGGAGTGTTCAGGATACCAAAAAAAAAATGGGCACTCCTCCGGTGAAACCTCATGAACCCCAACTCTCCCCCCCCCACCCGCCCCCTCCCCCATGAGCCCCCACACCCTCCCTCAATGCGAAGCGGCCCCGCCGCCCCGCCGCCTACCCAGGCCACGGAGTTGGAGTGGTCCCCCAGCTTCTGCCAGTGGCTGGGCCAGGTCCAAGCCTGCAGTATCCACTGTCGGCTCAACACACACACACACACACACACACACACACCTATACCCACGTCAATAACAAACAAATAAAACAAAACAAACACGGGAGGAAAAAAATAAAAGAAGAAGAAAAAAACATACAGGCGTAAAACATGAACATGCAACAACAACTGCAAACGATTGCTTCATGATTTGCAGATTTCTAATAATCTAGACATGTTAGCGAGCTCCCGAATATACTGCGAGCTAAAGGGCGAACATATTGGTATTCGATAAGCCTTCTTGGTGCTTTCCTTATTCAAGAAATGAGGGGGTGTCGTTTTGTTGAGGGCACCTTTTTAGGGTTCCATATAACAGCAGCTTGGCATGTTTCCAATCAGGGAACCCTGTATTGATGGACACGGAGCACGATGTTGCACCGTTTTATCGGTGTGCACTGCCGAAGCCAGCAACAACACCTTAGACATTCAACACCTGGTGTGGCTTCAAAGACATACGTCGGAAGGGTTCCCTACTTGGAGACAAGCCCCAGGAGGCAACTGGGGATGTCTCAAAATTAAGGACCCTCCAAAGTGGTTGGTTTCATCTTGAATGGTGTTTAATATAATCTCCTTTTATAACATGTTTATACATACAGTTTAGGACTAATACTACCCTCTTCAAAACATGCAATCTGAAAGGCTCTGACAAAACGTGGCGAAGCATCGTGCCGAAGCCCGGGCTTCCCCGCAGCATTCATCGCAATACAGAAGTTCAGGAACCACATTGCCTCGGAGACGCACAAAAAATTGGCTCACCACGCGTCTGTGCTGTTTTTGCTCCGCTCCATGAGGTGTCAATGATGTCAGGCAATCCTCTACTACCAGAGACAGGCTTGCCTGAGCCTCCACCCTCAAGGTGATAGCAAAAGCGTAGCACCCCCCTTTACCGGCAGCGACACATGCACATCCCAACAGGAGCTCCATTTACTTCCCCTCACAAGGAACCTCCCTTTAAGGTGGCTCAAAGGGGAATGCGTTCAGCCTCTTGAACTGAAATATCCTCTGGCCTGCTGCGCCGAAAACCAGCGTGTTGATGCCTCGCCGACAGGGGAACATAGTCGCCCGCCGGTAAAAACCTGTTTCAAGCTGCAGCGGGTCGGGCTGCTTGGAAGGCTGGTCAACTCGGCCCAGACATGTCCTTCCAACCAGCCTTCCAACCGCATGTCACACAAATCACATTTTACTTGGCTCAACTGTCCAAGAAAGACGCACATGAGATACCGCACGTCACACACATCACAGACGTCGCCGCATGCCTGGTCCTGGCCGAGGCCAGCCAGAAACTCGCACCTCGCCTGGCCACTGGCAGGCACTGGAAGATTCTCCTCAATGATAAGACCGTTGGCTACAAAATGTTTGTTCTCGCTTCAACCAGTTTTGCATTCCTGAGTTGCTAGCTTACGCTGCAATCCCTAAAATAGCATTTGAGCAACTGAGACACATGTGGCCCAAAGGCTGTTTTAGGTTCCACTACTCACTGGGGTACTGCAATCTTGAAAATGCTTCAGGCCGGATTCGTGTATCCAAACCAACCGCCGCATCCAGTGTCTTCCTCGCCGCCCCCATCCAAGCCTTCCAGAGTCCCTGGCATGGCAGGCAATGCTCAAACGCCTTCTTGCCTTTCCAGCTCATCTTCAACAGGTCGCAGAGTCAAACCTGGCCTGAACCAGAATCCCATCGAGTTGCAAAATCTCTGACCTACGAGGCTTCTCCCTCCCTCCAAGGCTCATGCCCTTCCAAGCCCTTCACGCCTGCGACCCTGGAGCCACGGGCACGGGAGATGCCTCACAGGCCGGCTGAACAGGCATCCTGCACCCGTGGTCTCTCAAATCCGCCCTTGGCGGATGACTCAGAGGAGATCTGCAGACATGACCGGTTAGGACCACCAGCTAAGACGGCGATCGGTTCCAAAGGCACTCCCTCTTATTTTTCCGCAAGGATGGCTTACCTCAACTCACTCCAAGTGGCGTCAAGGCCATCCGAACACGGCACAACTTGTCACCACATGCCAGCCCTGCCAGCGATTCCATGGCTACACACATCGGACCTTGGTGAGGAATACCCCGGATGCCATGGACGTCCCCTGCAAAGTCTGCTTATACTCCGGTCAGCGTCCTCAATGAGCGAACCGGCCCGCATGGCGCGCCTCTGCCAGCGGGCTCGGCAGGTCCTGACAGCGCTCGACTTCGCCGAAAACGATCCAAGAAGCTCCCTGGTGGCTCGAAGTGTCAATACGTGGCCGGTCAAGGTTGTGTATGTTCATATGATTTCCGTACCGTGAGGTGTCCTTGGTGTTGTGCAGAGCACAGTCGGCTGATTTGTTGAGCAAAGCTTGCACAGTCTTGAGTCTTATCTGTTGACAAATGACCGCAACATGCCTCGAATAAGCCACCTGTCGGCCCTAGCATCTGGGCTCATTGTCAGAGTGTGCCTAGCATGCAAGAATCAACTGCTGTTCGACCTGCTTCCAGTGCTGTGCATTGTGCGAGGCCAATGCTTCCAGCAGCCCTACCAGGGACTGGCCTGCTCTGTGCGTTTCACAAGTTCCATGGAACGAGGTCAAGTGATGATGGCTTGAATATTTACACCAGCAACAAAAAGGGCCTCTTGCATGCCCCCTGACCAAAAGAACAACTCATCACTGACCTCTCGGCGAACCGCGCCTGCGCCCCTGGCGGCTCCGCCAAGGGCTCCCGGGAGGTTTTGCGGCGCGGCAGGGCCTAGGGAAGACTGCAGGGACCCTGCTGGGATGGAGGGAAACCCTATGGAAAGCCCAGCATTTCAGGGGCTCACCCCGAGTTTCGCACACCAACGTGAGCTTTGAGGTAAGCAAGGGTAAACCCGGATCCCTAACAGGGAAACTTGAAATGGAAGAATGACGAGCCTGGTGAATTTGTGCTAAGCCATGTTGATGAGCAAAAACAATAAGAATCAATCCTAAGGTACACACACAGTGGCGGCGCCTGTAACGGTCCGGGTGCTCAAAACGACCGCTCGAGAAGTCCGACTTTGAATGTTTCGCTGATGCAACATTCAAATCTCGACGGGTTCTCTGAACCTAACCAAAGTTTCGGGCCGCCAAGTGTCCTTCTTGCGCCTTGCCGCACGCCTTGCCTAGATCAGTAGAGAGACTACCTTGCCTTTGGCGCCGCCACAGTGCGGGCACATGCTGTGTGCATGCCCCCACAAAACAGAGCGAAAGATATCGAAATATACAAACATGTATATATATATATATATATATATATGTATATATACATATACATGTGGTCACCCCTCTGTATTTTCTATAGTGCTTGTTTTACCAACAGCCAGGCATAGAAGTTCTTGTGGCGATAGCACTCGTGGAGCCGCTCGTGAACGCTCACAGAAATCGTGCGTCAAACCACGCGGCACCGGGACAGCGGGGTGCAGTGACAGTCTTCCGCGCCCACCAAAGAAAAGGCAAACAGGCACTGAGAGATGCGAAATCCAAACGACACCGATCTGGAGACGAGACAGGACCACCTGAGAGGCATAGGCAACAATCGGGTCACTTGGCAGGTCAGGCGAAACAACAAAGAATAGCTACAGCGGGCAAAGTGCGTGCAAAAAAATCGACCTGCGACACGAACGAACGTGCACCAAAGCAGGCGTCTGTCCTCTTTCCACTCCGCTTCACCTCCGCCACCCAACCTACCCGGGACCACAAACTCGAGTTATGCGACAGCTGACACAAAACAAAGAAGAAAACACGAAGCGGGCGCCCAGCCCACGGGACATTTCCCTTGATCAATTTCTCTGGCATTCTGGAATTCCTTTTCAGTTCTAATGCCTAGCAATCAGGGCTGGCAACGATTGATTCTATCAAATGGGTTCTTGTTGATTTGTTTGTCTGAATGGTAAGTTCAGCCTCGGTATATTCATGACTTGGTCAAACATTCCCAGCGGCTACACAAAGCATTCCAGGCATCTGTTTGGGGAGAATGAAAGCTTCAGTGCAACTCAGTTGATGATCAATGTCTTGAATTGGAATTGAAACGTGGAAAGTTTGCTTCTTCACCATAATGGAAGGTAGCTCTGCTTGAAGATAAGATGAATAAAACCAAAAATACCTGCGAGAAAACATGTGCGTGAGGCAGTGAGACACCAACCCCCTCGGCTCCTGGCTGGGCTGGCCGGCGAGCCCTGAAGCTGAGAAGACGACAGCATCGATCACAGCAAAATCCATTTCGCACCACTTGGAAACCATGGGAAACCATGTTTTGTTGGCAAAAACACAGGGAATCATCATGCCGTGCAGGATTTGGTCCACCCACAGTATCTGTTACGCTGAAGCTACACGCTGCCGAAATCGTCATCCGAATGAACCAGGGAAAAGTCTGTGCAATCCTCGTCCAATGCTCAAAGAAGCCGATAAAAAGCAGCGAATGTCCATGGCTGCTCCAAATTTAATGCCTTTGATCCAGCTGTCAAACAAAATATACCTCACCATGAAGATTTGTGTGGTTCTGCCCAGTTGCTGCACGCTTAGCATAAAGAACCGACCAAAAAGACCGCAATCGCACCAAATTATGGGTTCTTCAGACATGAACACGTAGCAAATCTCGCGCCTGGCGTGTGTCAAGAATTCGCCAGGCAGGACGTCGATGCTGGTTGTTTGTTTCTGTCGATTTTACGGCTCACTGCTTGTTCTGTGAGTTTACAAATATACATATATATATATATACATACATATATATATATATGTATACATATATTTATGTCACCCCCTCCCCCAGGACCTAGGTGTTGGTGCCTTTTCGGGATGATAAATCTAGAATCTGGAGATTTAATCCTCGAAGTGTTCAATGTTGGCCCCCAAAGCCTCATAATTTGGAGCCCGGAGTCCGCCGAAATGCCCAAGTATGATGTCCTTTCCAAATAGGATGTTTATTTTAGATTGAGTTGGAAGATTGAATAGAATTTAGTAGGGTTGCAGTTTACCAAATGCGTGTTTACGTTCAATCAGAATTTAAATACTGATTCGCTATATCAATATGTATGTATATAATTTCGGATAGAACTGAATTGATCGTCAACAATATATTGTAAATAGAAACTTACTCCCCGTTGTAAATATAATCTAATACAAAAATACTTCAATTGGCTTTGGAAAACATGTTTTAGATTGGAAATCATACCCAAATACAGTTCACATCAAATGTGGCGTAACATTTAAGGGCTCTTACAAGAAAAATCTAAATTGAATTTGCGTTGTTTAAATTGTGGCCCTTTTGTAGCACAAGAAAGGTCCGAAATTAGGCTTTTGGGACGCTCCAAACTAGAAACTTCAAGGGATTCGAGGTTCAAAATCTAGAAGCTATCTTAAAAAAGAAATTCCAGCTAAATCTGTTGCATTCAAAGTCTTTTTTTTGAACAGGAAATCATGATTCAATCTATCTCTCAAGGCGGAGGTAGTAGATGAGCAGATAGGTAGCTTGCGGACGGGTGAGCATATCTATGTATTTTCATACATATACATATACATATACATATACATATACATACACATACACATACACATACACTTACACATACACATATTGCATACACATATTACATACACATATTACATACACATATTACATATACACATATATATATATATATACATACATACATATACATATTCATATATACATAAATATATTCATATATAGAATATTTGTATATAATATACATATTCATGCACGTACACATACGCATGCCCATACACATACACATGCACTCATATACATACACTACATTACATTACCTTACATTACATTCCAGTACGTTACGTTACATTACATTACAGTGCATTACATTGCCTTACAGTACATTACATTACATACATGCAGACTCTATCAGATGGCAAATGTTGATATCATTGCTTGCATTACCTATGTATGCATGCATGTATATACATATGGCACCCCCCCCCCCCTCCCCGTGCCACAAAATCAATGAGGCACAAAAGGCGGCATAGAACACTGGAAAAACAACGGATAAACAAAAAAAAACATAGCTCAAACTCGCAAAACCTACGGGATACCATATTATGTATATATATATATACATATATATATATATATATATATGTGTCTAGTTATGCACGTGTACATATGTATGTGTGCGCGTATGCGCGCAAGCCTGAGCGCAGTCTTGCTCAATTGATGTTATTGTCCTGCCTTTTTTGCTGTGCTCGTCGCCTGCTCCTTTGCTTGATGATGTCTATTGATGGTCCTTTCTGTGACGATATGGCTGGGTCTCTCTTAAGTATTATTTTCACAAAGACTACAGGCTTGCAGCCTCCTGTGTCTCCGATAGTGGGCGCTTTAGAAGTGGATGCTCCAATGTGGCAAGTCATAAGAGAAGCCACTTGGAGCAAACGGCAAGGACCAAGGAACGGGCGAAATGCACCTTGCGTTAGTTTACTCGTGACATTCCACCGGTCCTTCCTAGGCACCCCGGCCGCAGCGCTCTCTGGCGATGGCACGCCCTCAGGGAAGGGATGTTTCGGGCAACAGCCGAACCTTGCCAACACAAACCAGCCGAATATGTCCAAACATCAGAGATGCCCGCAAATTGCCTTTTTTTCTTGGCTTCCCCTTCAGAAACCAACCCAGGCACTTGTTTTTTGTTGGATTGAATGCAATGACAAAACATGAACTGCCGGACTAGGTATTGACCAGGCTCTTTGCGGATTAGGCATAGTTGCCAAGCCGTCGAGGACATAGTCCAAATTAACCATATGCTGAGGATGGCTGTCAAACACTATGCACCAAGGATTGCGTCCTATAGCAACGGTTGCTGGCCCTGTGCCCCATGACAGAAACCTTAGTTGCCACGCATTATACGCAAAAGGTCCGGAGCAAGACGTGCATCACTTCTGGCTCGCCTCCATGCCAGGCATGGTTCGCCGCACCTCAGCAGACTCTGGGCACGCGGAGAAACGAGTCCCCCAAAGCAAGCTGTAAAGCAAGCAGCAACCTGTCTGACAAATCCAAGGCCTGACAGAGCATCCACCACCCTAGCCAAATTGCACGTTTGTCCTAAGACCTTTGCTGCTAATCGTTACCAACTATAATGCAAAGCCAACCACCCAAAGGTCAAGTTGCTTCAAAAGGTCTTGATATGCAAGAGCCCGTTCCACTCATCCACCTTTCGAGTGTTGGACATGCACAAGCTGGGGTGCAGCAGCAACCATTAAAAGTCTCGTCGCTCACACAAGTCGTGTTGTGTTACACCAGAAGGAATGTCAACAAAAGTCTCACCGCAAATCATCATCAACCTACCAAGTACCCTCGAAACAAGCAAGACTCAAATGGCGCAACACGTCGTGGGAAGGAGTTACAGTCTGGTCAGACGTCAATGCCCACGCTTCGAATTAACACCAGGCTCAACATCTCCCACCGCTACCTGCTCTCTGCGCATCCCCCACCTGAGTAAGCAATGATGCCTTCATTGACATCGCGATTCGCGGCTCAAAGGAGATCCGGCCTGTAGCTGTTCAATAGCTGATTGGTGTCTTGCCATATGACAATTCCTTGCACATGAGCTGCTAGATAAGCTCGGCATGTCACATCTTACCGCCACCGAAGGCCATCACAGCTGAGAAACTTGGGGAAATGGCCATCTGTTTGTCACTTAATTGTCCGAGTGGCTCAAAGGGCAGAACGTTGAGAGGCTTGTTGTCTGCAGATCGCACGGACCGTGAAACCGCCTATCTGCTGATCAACAATGGCCTGGTTTGTTGCATAGGAATCGCCCCTGGAGCCAAGAAGGGCAGAAATCTCGCGCCAGCCCGGGAACAAGAAAACAACAAATGCAGAGAACAAATTGCTGCCCCATAGGATGGAAGGTCGCCACTCGCCTCTTCAAAATCTTGCGCGTGCAAATACCTTGAGGCTCGCTCCTTCTTGCTTATCAACTCGAATATGAGGATCTTGCACAAAGCACCCTGTCGGCAAAAACAAAGCCTGTTTGCTGCTCAGAAGAGAGTCATGGTCCCAACACAAAACTAGCTCCATGCTGCACTGGACTCAGCAGAAACCTGAGTTTTCTGCAGTCCGGGAAGAAACTGCTAGACATGTCCGGTAGCCTTTGTGGGTGGCAAACTGCACGGAAACCAAAAGGGCAACCAGCCTTGTATTTTGATTTTTGGGGAGGGGCTTGTATGTGTTTATACTTGTCATGCGCCGTACCTTTGGTCTACCTCCTCGCAACCTGCAACCTGATCAGCGAATGTCTGCTTTGCACCAAACAGTTTTCACTTCACCTTATGAAACATCCTGACGAGGGACCTGGAAGCTGCTTCCGGGTGGACATGTCAACTTCGCTTCGCTTTTGTGGAGCTTCGCATTCGACATGACACCCACAGCCCCAGGCACATGCCGGAATAGGCCATGGCCGCGGGGACCTTGGCAAAGGGCACACCCCTTGCTGGCAAATGGATGATTGAGTGCAAAAACAATTCAGCACAACCCGTACTCATTGTATTTGAGTGTTTGAGCCAGCACAAATTCCGTCAAGCTCCTACTTGCACCCCTGATGCAGAAACGAGGGACACGCAAATATGCACATATTGCTGTTCCTGAAATGTGCAAGCCAAACAAGCTCAGGGCCGTTGCATCACCAGAAATGCGAACAGAAACTGTTGTAAGATTGCGTGGCACAAAACCGCAACTCATGGCTGACATGTGCACGTGCCATGGAGAACTACATGCTTACCAAGCACCACACGGTCAAAGCGTTCAGTGCCAGTGGCAGGATATCTTTCAAACACCGACAATGTCTGACATTGGTTGCTGTGGATGGATTCTGGTGGCAAATCTTAAATTGAACATAACACGTGAGAACATGTATCATTGTGATTGCAAGCTGCATGCGAGCATTGGAAGCTTGCGTATAGTGTTGTTACGCCTTGAGCCACAAATCCCAGCATGACATGCAAGAGTATGCAACACATTGCACCATGCGGGCAACACATAGAAAAGACCTTGTTCCATCTGCAAATGAAAATAAGATGACCAACATCCACCTCAAGCATAAGATGCCGCCTACATGGCTTCATACAGCAAAGCGGACATCATGTACAAAAGTGTTGTCCTGCTTTCTAGGAGCATGATTCCTCACATGCACTGCTCGCATGCAAACACATGCAA